AACATATACAAATCAACTTATTTTTGAAGAAACATTAAAAAATGTTTGACATATGAATTTTCTCACGCCTTGATGCAGCTACCTGAATCGGTTGCCCACCAGAACTCAAGCGACGGCCATGGAGATGGTGTGGGCCGTCGCTCTCCGCTCGTATTAATCGACCGTGGCATCAGAATAAATGCCGAATATTATCGCGAAAATATTCTGGAGGATGTATTAAAGCCTTGGGAACCCATACAGGACTCAGCACTATCGCGCTGCGCACGCGCCACCCAAGAATGGTTACAAAATGATTTTTCTCGCTTCATTTCCAGCCCACAATGGCCACCAAAATCTCCCTGGATACCAATCCGTTGGACTATTGTGTCTGAAGTATTTTGGAAAGCAAGGTTGGCAAGCGCTTCGCCAGGAATGGGCAAAATACCGCAGAGCACATTCGGGCAGCGCGTGACGTTTTCATTTGCCGTTTGAAGGAGATAATTCGTGCAGATCAGATAATGCTCGAAAATACATATGTCAAATGTTATCGAGATCGATTCAGTTTGGGATATAACTCTCATATATATCGTTTTCCGACATCAGGTTTATTGTGCACCAAATGGCTAATATCTTCCCAAATGAACTGAATTTTGGCACCTGCGACGGAATTCAGCCCATAAGCAAGCCCAGATTTTTATATAGTTTCAATATACATCTTCATCCGATTTTACGGTTATTGCTCATCATATATGCAATATCAGCCCAAATTGAATAGATTTTTCATATTCAACCCAATTTTACCATTACTCCAATAAATATTATTCAATATTATACTTAACGAAGTCATATTATGCACTATACAGCAATCATCTACTTCATTTAAATTCCCAATACAACTTTTTTTGTTACGCGAGCTCTACTAAATACGCATAGCTGTACAGGGCATCATAAAGTCAGGCGGGCCGACTTTTTTCCTTACAGTTTTTTTTTTGCAAGAGAGATTTTTCTGGAGGAAAATACTATTTTGAGAGCGTAATTACTTTACTCGCCCGAAATTAATTTCCAAAGAAATTTTTAAAAGAAAAAATTCCGCAAAATTTGTAATGATCAACTATTGTATTCTAGCTAGTACATCATAAGCAGTGATTTATAATTAAGACATTCCATCTCTGATTCCCTTTTACATGAGAGAGAGAGAGAGCAGTAATGTTGACAACATAGCAACAACACCGCCAGCTAACACACATGCATGTTGTAATGCAAACATTCTCACCGTGTGCGCAAACACACCAATGTTTTGTTTATTTGATGTGACTGCTACTCCTCATTCCATTTGGCCGACGTCTAATGCACCACCCGCCAAGTTCTGATGGATGATGCACTGAAGCTTCTTCTTATGCTCACACAACACATTTTTATTTCTTTATGGCAGTTTACACAATGCACAAGATATGAGAGGAGTGTGAAACGAATGGTTTCTCGGGTTTCTCCGTGTCTGTTGCAGTTTTGTTATTCTGGGTGTAAAAATTAACTTTGGGGTCATTTGTTGTAATTGTAACATTTTGTAGATGAATAGTGGTCTCTTAAATATTTTTCTGTTGTTGTGTCTTTTGTACATTAAACTTTGCTTAGTTTTGATTTATTTTCCACGAAAAAAAAATGGGTCACTGACATTTAGAGCTACATAGCAGTAGTAGTTATGGTGGTAAATGTGTGCGATAGTGTTTTTGACAGTTAGTTGGTACTTTTTAAATGGCTTGGCTTTGCTTTTGGCCGAGGGGAGGAGCTGCACTCTGTTGCTGTTACTGTTTGGTTTTGACTTTGGCATTTCTCATTTCCTTAATGGCAAATTTCATGAGTATCCATTACCCATGACTCATAGATTTTTTGAAAAGTTTTTTTATTTCACTGCCAATTGTTGTTTTAATTCAGATAAATATTTAATTCAATTGATGAAAACCGGTTTTTCTTTCACACATTTGTGTTACTTAATTTTTCATCCGTTCATTCATTCATTCTGTCATCTTGTGTTTTAATGCTCTCCCTCTCTCATAGTGACTTTCTCTAAATGGTTGAGAGCTGATGGTTGTCTTGAGCTCAAGGGCTTCATCTTTTGTTGGTCTGTCTGCTATTAAGTAGCCCGGTTCTTGTTTCTTTTGAATTGAAAACAAAAAAAAAAACAAAGTTTAACGATGATTCACAACACCCTTCCACAGTGTTTTTGCCTTTCGCACAAACTTTCTTTGTCAATTGATGATTACAAAATGCCAAACAAAGACATGACTTTCATCTCTGCTATGTTGGCACCCCGACGAGTCATGCATGCAAGCATGCCTGTTACACATTGCATAAATGTATTTTTTGTGTGGATTTCTTTAAATAATATTTTTTTTTTTTGTTTTACTTTGAAATTCTTTGTGACTGGTATCTGTCTGTGTTGTTAGCTGGTGATTGTTGTGGGAATTGAGACCGGTATAAAACTATTTTGCTAATCATTTAGCACATTATTTGAAAGTTATCATGACTCATAAGTCACCTGTAACGGTAATATCTATAAGATGATAAAAATAAAATCGGGGCTAGAGAATTTGGCAATTTTTTGCAAAGGCAAAAATCATCCCAATTATTTTTTCTGTAGAAAAATGGAGAAATTTTTCTATTAAAGTTTGAGATTTAAGAAATTTTCTATGTTTATGCAAAAATAATGCCACGAGGTTAAATTTTTTTGTAAAATAAAATTTTTGGAAAAAATTGAGAACATTTTCTATTAAAGTTTGCGATTTGACAAATGTTTCTGTAAGCAAAAATAATGCCATGACGTTAATTTTTTTCTAAGAAAAATGTATATTCATGGATTTTTATTCAGTTAAATATTAAGTATTTCATAAAATTATACATAACACCGTGTTGTGATTTCCAGTTTTCAATGATTATCAGCACAATCATTAATATCCGCGCAGAATTCTATTTCCACGGATAGAATTTTAATTTAAGAGAAATAATTTGTGAGGATGGCAACACGAATGGGTTTTTTTCGTACCTAGTGTATCCTATTTGTTGTACAAATTGCTGCAAATTTTAAATACTTTTATTTTTTCAAACAAAAATTAAGCAATTTAAACCGTTTTACTTTCAATATTAGGATTCGAACATATGTGTTTGATGTTGAAAAGTTAATGGGTCGATGTAGAAGTTTAAATAACAATCCTGAATGGCCAACTTCACAAAATGTTTCTTGCTCGTTTTTTAAATAAATTAATGGAATAAAACGCACGAAATAGTTAAAAAACGCTGTACATCTACTTGAAATAAATAATTAATTAACGATTTTAAATGTTAACGTTTTCAATAAATCCCTAATTCATGAGCTGCTAATTTTTCTCCTCTAAGTTCTTCGGAAAAAATAAAAATTGACTGGATGTTGAATCGCCGTAGAATACTAAGAGTATTCCGGATAGCTATTTTTATACCCTACACCACAAGGGTATTATGTCTTTGTACATTTATTTGTAACAGGCAAAAGGAAACGAGATAGACCCATATTTACTTTTGAGAATCTTCATAGAATCACTTTCTGAGTCGATTTATGCATACCAGACCGTCTGTCCACGTATTTTTGAGAACGAAATGCATATCGCATTTATTATCCGATTGAGATGAAATTTTTCAAACCAGATTTGTTTTGGCCCAAGGACGAACCCTATTGAAATTTGGTGAGAATCGGTTCAAATTTAGATATAGCTCCCATATATATCTTCAACCGATTTTGGCCAATGTCACCAAATGACCTGCATTTTTCCATATCCGACCGAATTCAGTCTAGAAGCAAGTAAATTAAAGTTGGTGAAAATCAGTTCAGATATATCTATAGCTCCCATATATACGTTTTATCCGATTTGGTGTTAAAGATTCTCACATGCGTAATATGAACTACACAATAATAATTTTTAGTACCAGATATATATATAATAATGGTTTAAAATTTTGTCGAGATCGGTTCAGATTTGGATATAGCTCCCACATATATCTTGATCCGTTTTCATGTTTTTTTGTGCACCAAATGGTGGACATCCCAAATTGGCTGCATTTTAGCACTTCCGGCGGAATTGAGCCTAAAAGCAAGCGCTTCAGATTTTGGTGAAAATTGGTTCAGATATAGGTATAGCCCCCATATATATGTTTCATCCGATTTGATGTAAAAATCCTTCACATGAGTAATTTCCACTCCTCAACAATGATATTTGATACCGAACATCAGATACTGCTCGAAAATACCTCTACCAAATTTTATCGAGATCGGTTCAGATTTTAATTAAGCTTCGATATAAATCTTCCGATTTTATGGTTTTTGCTCACCATATATGTAATATCTTCCCATATTGAATAGATTTTTTTCATTTTTAACCGAATTTTACCATTCGGTAAACTATTTTTATTATAATCCTTATCGAAGTCGTATCATGCACCATATAGCAATGTTATTTGTATCATAGTTGGATCTACTTCACTTAAATTCTAAATATAAACTTTCTTGTTACGGGAGCTCTACTAAATACGCATAGTGGTGTAGAGTATCATATAATCGGCCCGCCCGAATTTTGACCTTTCCTTACTGGTTATTTTATTTTCCGAGACAAATTATGGTTTATTATATCATATCTACGTAAAAAACATCAGCTGAGCGGCATTTAAATTCTCCTAAAGGTGTTCCAATAAACAAGTTTAGCCCACTAGATATATTGATCCCTGTGGGTTCACCATCAAAATCGTAGACTTACTTTAAATGCATATAATCTCACATTTTCCAAAATAATTGTCCAAAATAATGTCAACATCTGAGCTGATGTCAGTTTCGATAAAAAAAATAATCTAAGATATGAATTTTCCAAAAAGGGGATCAGGTCAAAATCGTGGAAACATAATTTATAACCCCATTATTCCCAAAAATGTCAATACCCCCCATTAAGCAATGCCTCAAACCCACCCCATCGTTCTTACCACACTTCATGTTGGTCCATTACCTGATAACTATTCGCCATCATATCCAAAATATTAAAACTCGACGAGCCACCAAGATTTTTATCATCCGTACCGAACATCATCAAATGTAGACGATCCATTAAATGATGCACCGAATAGGCATTGGGCGCCACCGTCCATTCAGCAAATTTCACCAAAGTATCCATTTCCAATTTATCCTGATAGGTTTCGTATTTTTGCATTTGTTGGAATCGCGACGATATACGATTCATTGTATCCGATATTTCATTGCGTTTGGCAAGCAATTGTATGTTGCCTTCGACGAAATTATTAACCGAATCTATGGCTAGGGCAATTTGTTCGGCGTGCTATTTGATGAAGTGGAATAGTGGTTAGGAGAATAAATTTGTATTCTTTGTTTTTTGGAAGAATTTGTTTTTCGTAGTTTAGCATAAAAAGGAATGGTCCAGACAGGCCTAATACAAGTGTTTTTGGGAGCCTCATATTTTCTTATGCTTTCATTACATTTGGCAGCCTTCTGAGCCATTCAATTGTACACTCTGATCACTCAATTAATTCTTTGTCCCTGTAGCTGATATGTCCAAACACACCAACTGGAAGATTTCCAATTAGATGTCCAATAGAGACTAGCATGTTACTCCCCTTTTAAGACTGCTCGTAATTTTGCCTTTCAGGACCATTCACTTTTTATCCATCAATCTATCCACTCCACTTTACCTGATCCTCGGTCTTAATAATCTGACTGCTGACTTCTCTCAAACGGGAGAGAACTTTCTTTTGTTTATCTCGCATTAGCGGGAAATCAATATCAGAATTGGAGGTAGATATCTTAACAATATCCCAGGCTTTTAAGACGGCCGTCGTTACTTCCTTGACGACATGCAGTACATCCAAAACATCTTCGATCAAGGCCGCTGATGGCGGAGGTTTGGTGTAGAACACAGCCAGAAAAACGATGAGACCCAGAGAAAAGCGTTGTATGTGCATTTTTCCTTTTGTTGTTATTGCTTCTTTATTAATTTATTTATATTTTACCGGAAAAAATTAAACTGTTGAACACCACAAATGACAAACGCGTTGTTGATACAGCGAGACCGACAACCAGCCGACACACTTCGAATACAAATAAAATTAAGAATAATTCACGTTTTCACTTAGCTAAGCACCATGGAAATAACACGACGTTGCTTGAGCGTTTTTTGCGTAAAAAACTGACAAAGAAAAAAACTTGTTTTATTTTTTGGTATTTTTTCTCTTCTTTTTCTGTTGTTATTTTATTTATTCACTTATTTCTTTTTGATTATTTTCTTCGTCGTTCTTTTTTTTTGTTGCGTTTTTATTTTGTAACTCGCTCCAATGACTAGACTTAACAACACACTATTTCTGCCGCTGTTGTTGTTATTTATATTATTTATTGTTGTAATCATACAACATGCTGCCCCACTAGCTTGAATTTAAAGTTAACAACGCGTTGTCATTTGGCCAGCCATTGCCATCAACCAACCACTCGGTTCAAGAGTTGAATTCAATTTGATTTGGCGTCTTTCATCGTCGTCCCCATGCCACAGCAGTGATATTAACATCCATTAATATCTCCCATAAATCCTCCTCTAACCACTCTACTTTAATTCTCTCTTTCTCTCTCTCTTTCTCTCTGTCTGGTGTTTGATTTTATTTACCGTAATTGCAATAAAATAATATTGTGTTGCTACAATGACTCTCACAATGAAGCCAGAGATGGAAGGTTTAAATTTCTTATGGGTTTCTTTTGACACATTGGATGAACATAAATAAAACGAGTTATAGTGTGTTTAAGAGTGTTAAATTTTAACGTAATGGGTTTTATAGATCTAGCGGGTTAACCTTGCGTGTTTAGATACACCCTTAGGAGTATTTAAATACCGGGCAGATGATATTTGTAAACGTATCTATACACAACCAATAGAATGTAAAAACTAGTCAAAAAAATGTAGCGAAAAATAGTAATATTGAGTTAATTGAAGTTGAACCACTAAAGAAAGGTCAAAAACCGACTATATGATATTTTGTAGAGCTCCCGTAACAACAAAATGTTTGTATTGGAAAATTATCTGAAGTAGATCATACCAACTATGAACCAAATAACTTTGCTGGAATATATTAAAACAAATATTTATTACAGCAATAGATATCCCGGACCGAGTTTCATCAAATGGTAAAATTCTGTTGAATATGAAAAAATCTATTCAAGTTGGACATATATTACATATATGGGGAGCAATATCCGTAAAATCGGATGAAGATGTACATCGAAGCAATATAAAAATCTGAACCGATCTTGATAAAATTTGGCAGAGGTATTTTCGAGCAGTATCTGATGCCCGGTATGTGTAGTGCATATTACGCATGTGAGAGACTTTAACACCAAATCGGATGAAACATATATATAGGAGCTATAGCTATATCTAAACCGATTTTCACCAAATTCGATGTACTTTCTTCTAGACTGAATTCGGTCGGATGTGCCAAAAATTCAGGATGAAACATATATATAGAAGCTATAGCTATATCTGGACCGATTTTAACGAAAATTTGGAGCACTTGCTTTTAGGTCATTTGGGCCAATACTAACCATTATTTGCACAATATACCAGAAATCGGATTAAGGATATATATGGAGCTATAAGCAAATCTGAACCGATCTTGACAAAATTTGGCAAAGGTACTTCCGAGCTCTATAAAATATCATTGTTGTCGAATTCATATTACGAATGTGAGGGACTTAAACATCAAATCGGATGAAACATATATATGGCAGCTATAGCTACATTTGAACCGATTTTCACCAAATTCGATGTACTTTCTTCTAGACTGAATTCGGTCGGATGTGCCAAAATTCAGGTCATTTGGAATGGTATTGGCCATTTGGTGCTTAATTAACCCGAAATCGGTTAAAGATATATATGGGAGCTATATCCAAATCTGAACCGATCTTGATACAACATAGCAGAGGTATTTCTGGGTTGTATCTGATACCAAACATCATTCTTGTGGGGTGCATATTACGAATGTGGCGGACTTAAACACCAATTCGGATAAAACCTATATATGTAGCTCCCATATATAGGTTTAGCTATATCTTAACCGATTTTCTCTAAAATGAATGTACTTGGTTCTAGACTGAATTCGGTAGGAAGTACCAAAATTCAGAACTTTTGGCCATTTGGTGCCTAATTAACCCGAAATCGCTGGAAGATATATGGGAGCTATATCTAAATCTGATCCGATTATCACCAATTTCAATAGGGTTTGTCCTTGGACCAACCAAATGTTGTTTGAAAAATTTCATCTCAATCGGATAATATAACGAGGCCTGCACGTTGTTCACAAGAATACATAGACGGACGGACAAACGGACTGATATGCATAAATCGACTCAGAAAGCGTTTCTATGAAGATCCTCAAAAGTAACTATGGGTCTTTGTTGCTTCCTTCTCCATGTTACAAAGAAATGTACAAAGACATAATATCCTTACCACTATGTGGCGTAGGGTATAAAAAATAGGTGGTTATGCACATGGTGACGTATTTTCATGAGCAAATACAATTTTCGGTCTTTTTGTCATTGTTCGAATTAATTTTTTGTCATCGGCTGTAGTACCCATTACGAACTTTAAATACGAAATTTGAAACAATTCCTGTGAAATTCATCAGAATACCGAATATCGGGAGGTACTTTTATATGGGGGTTACACGATAATCGTAGTCCTACAGAGACAATTCTCTTTCAGGGGGTAAAGTATTCAGAGGGAACCCCTTGTGTGGATTTTCAGACAATTCCAATGAAAAATGTGGTTAAAATCATCAAAATACCAAAAATATCGGAAGGACCGATATAACCCATCTTCGAAATTGATCTACCTGCAGACAAAACTGTGCAAAATTTTAGCTTCATATCTTCATTCGTTCTGACTCTAGCGTGGATAAATGGACATGGATAAATCGTCTACCCAAACGACTGACATATGATTATTCGACGGAAGACTACCTTGGAACTTATAGTACTACAAGACCTATTTATGGGTATTTCCAATCTTACTTACATCATAAAATTTGGCAATTAATTCCAAACCACTCGGTGAACGGCGATAATCATCACGTCTACCAAACAATTCCAAATGCAATAGATTTAATAAATGTTCCACCGATTCCGTATTGGGATCCGCAAACCAATTTGCCATAAACAGCAACGATGATGCTTCCATTGTTTGAAAATTCCTTTCGAAATGTTTCATATGACGATACATGGCGTCGATACGATGTTGTATACGCTCTATGCGTACCAACAACATAAGCGCTTGACTGGTGGAGATAAAGGCGTTCATTGTCGCCTCCCTGAAGGCAATGTTATAGTGTGATTGCTGGACGGCAAAAATAAACAAAAAACAAACATGATATTTAAATCTTTTCTTTTTTGCAAAAAACGCTCTTCTTACTTTATCCACCATGTTATCAATGTCGTGGGTAAGCGATTTGATTTGTGTTAGGATTTTTTTCTGTTTATCTCTTAATACTGGCAATTCCAGGGGATCATTTTTCGATTCCAGCTTATTGTCTTCTTGCCCAAAAAGATACTCTCCAAAACGATAGCTTACATCCAATATATCAAATAAATCTTCCACAAAACATTGGCTATGCCATGGATGATAGATGGTAAATAGTAATATTATCATGCCAATGTGGTGGTATCTTTGGCAAAACATTATTTTTCTTTTGAGTTTTGAGACTAGTGCCCTCCTTCCAACTTCAATTACATTTCTATCTACACTGAATAATAATATTGAGAATTTAAAAATATGGTCACACTGATAGCTTTCCCGAATCATGGCGATAAGAAGAAGTGTAAATCAAAGTGTGACTACTTTCCATTATGGTGATATGATGCCGCCATCCATATATGTATACATAGTATTTAATATTAAGTTTTATAAATAAAAGTCTTTATTTTATAAAAAATTACACCTTTTTTGAGTGCAGTGAGAACATATGCAATTGGTATTGAAGTCCTTGGCATAGGTCAATGTCCAATTCTTTTCATTTGTCCAAATTATAATAATATTTTTTTTTCAGAATCTCCTATATGATACTATTTTTACATTTTTTACTAGTAATTGGTTAATTTTTAAGAGCTAAATAGGACAAAACTTTTTTGGAAGAAATTTTCAAAAAAAAATCCGTTCAAAAATACTACTAAAATCATAAAAATACTGAATATAGGGAGTTACCGTAATTTTTGGAGCCTATGCGAAGACGAGGCCTGTATATGCAATTTTTGTCATAGGCTGTAGTACCCATTAGGAATTTTAATTACGAAATTTGATACAATTCCTGTGATAAAAGTCACTAAAATCATGTAAATTCCAAATATTGGGAGGTACCGTTATATGTGGTCTATGCGAAGATATGAACCTGTATAGCAATTTTTTTGCCATAGGCTGTAGCACCCATTTGGAAATTGAAATACGAAATTTGATATAATTCCGGTGGATAATGTCGCTAAAATCATCAAAATACTTAAAATAGGGAGGTACCGCTATATGGGGAATATACGAAGACGTGGACCTGCAAATGCAATGTTCTATCATAGTAGTACTCATTAGGAACTTCAATTACGATCTTTAATACAATTCCGGTGGATAATGTCGCTAAAATCAACAAAATATTGAATATAGGGAGGTAGGGTTATATGGGGGCTATACGAAGACTTAAACCTGAAGATGCAATTTGCTGTCACAGAGGGTAGTACCCATTAGGAACTTCAAATACAAAATTTAAAACAATTCTAAAATCATCGAAATCGCGATAATTGGGAGGTACTGTTATATGGGACCTATACGAAGACATGGACCTGTTTGATAATTTTCTGTCAAAGGATGTAGTACCCATTAGGAACTTTAAAATTCAAATTTGAAACATTTCCGTTTAAAAAGAAGTGACACAAATCATCAAAATACCGAAAATCTGGGGGTGATAGTTCTATTCCAGAATGTGTCTTACATAATGGGAACATATGCTGGCAATTTACAGCAAATTCGGGTTAAAATTATGCTATGTTAAAATTCGGGTTAAAATTTTGGATGCTATGCCAACCTATGTATGTTTAACCTATTTTCAATACCAAAAGTCCTGAAGACTTAACACACACCTGTGTAAAATTTTAACAAACTACTCCAATTCGTTCGGAAGCTAGAGTGATTTCCACAGAGGGACAGACAGACAGAGGGACACCGTTAAATCGCCATGGAATTTTATGCTGATCAAGAATATATATATATATTTTGTGGGGTCTGAAATTGATATATCGGGACGCCATAATGGCGAACTAAATATACCCTCCATGCTATAAAAAAATACAAAAATTCAGAAAAATTCACGAAATCTTTATTTGAATTGGTAGTACGTTCCAAATAATTTAAAATTTGAAGATTATTTTAGGCAAATATTAATCTCGACTATACCTCAAATGTTCCATACGCTTTATAATCTCGCCAACATTTCGGCACGTTCTATACGGCCAATTGACCGGTCCGAAACGTGAAATAAAAGCTTCACCGGACTCGTCTCTCAATAAGTTCATTGCTACGCGTGGTATGTAGCACCATCTTCTGAAACCACATGTCATGGAAGTCAATCTTTTGTATTTTCGACAAAAATGTTGGATATCACCTAAATTCCATAAACCGCATCAAACTGTGTATTTGTCTGGTGATATCCACTCCATAATTTAAGAAACCCATTGAACCATAAATGAGGTTCTTGGATGAAAGGATGAAGCGCGCCATGAACTTTCCAAAAATCCGTATTTTACCCCTACACACCAACATTGAACTACATGCAAAATTTCTAGATTCTGCAGTTTTGTCTGGACGCTGACAAATCAGTCAGTCAGTCATTACTCTATTATTAATTTATATTGGGATAATTCATTTTCAAGGCTCATTTGATGTGAAGGTTAGAAATTCGACAAGTCTTAATTATTCGTAACAACAGTGACCATTTATCTAAATTTCAAGATCAGATCTTTCGGCGTTTTATACAGCACTCTATATACATAGGATAACATATTCGTGATTAGTTCTCCCCAAAAAAAATATTTAACACCAGCACCTATGGCTGATTTCCTTTTCTTAGCTTTTCTTTTTTTCTTTCCTTTATCCCAAATACTAATTAAATAATTAATTTATTTTTCTCTCTTCTTTTTCCCTTCCAGAGTTTCTTCTATGAAATCTTGGCCGGCATCTGGGTGCGCAATGGTCTGCAAATCAAAGGCCAAGCCATGACCTATATCCAGGCAAATTTTTGCAATTCCATGGCCGATATGGATTTATTCTTCTTGCAAATCTGTGCCACCAATATGCCTCAATGTTTCTTCCTGCACAATACAATCGAGATGTTCGGTGTGACTCAGTGGTTGGAAACGGCACCGCTGAAACAAACCCAAAAAATGGAACAAACCTCAATGCTAGAAGGCTTTCTAACATTCCTGGCCACACTGGTGACCAGTCGTACGAATTTGGGCAACGATGAGGCCACACAGTGCATTATTGAAATCAGTGCCCTCTTGGCAACGGAGAATAAAACACACTCGCAGCTACTGGAGCTGATGCCCGAACGTTCCGGCAATGTGCATACGAAAAATTTCGAAACTTTCCTAAAACAATTGTCCGTGTACAAGGCGCCATCGGCTGGTTCAGAGAATCTAGAGCAAGGTCTATTCACACCCATCGATCAGGTGTGGGAGGAATACTATGATCCCTTACATGTTCTACTACGTGCAGTACATCGCCGTGATTTCCAATCCTCGCTGGATCGTTTTACAAACTATGTTAAGTCCAAGAATCGTATGCCGGCAAGCGGGAATTTATGGCCACCATTCCGTTTGCCTCGCCCGGTGGGGGCAGCTTTTAGTGATCCCTGTCGTATTTTGAATTCTCGCATCTTCCATTCGACCATCTTGTCGATTTTGTATCGAGCTGTGCATTCTCGCGATGTGTCCGAACACCTACTGGCCTTAGCAATATTCCTTTTGGAGATTGCCGTCGAAACGAGCGAAGACACCAAGCCATCAAGCGGAGGTAGTGATAAGGCGGCCGTTGTCGAATGTGAAGATCAACAAAGGCCTTGTTATCCATTTGGCATGCGCCGAGATCCACCCAAGTTATTCAAATGTTATCCCACAAATAATCTTAGCTGCAATCTAAGGCATGTGGTCTCGAAAATTTCCCTAAAATCACATGAGCCACAAGTAACCCCGGCCCATTATCGTCCCTCAAATCCATTTTACACTGATGTTGATTTTGACATCGACGATACGCCCAGCATGGATATAACACCATCATGGTACGCAGGGGGTGGTGGTGGAGAACGTAATTTGAGTGTTGTGCACAGCACTTCTGTTTCCAGTGGTGGTATCGGCACCACATCAACCGCAATTGTGCCTATGCGTACGCAAAATATGGAAGTTGCCGTACCAGCCGAATTATCCTTAGTACGGGAAACTGGTCTTGTAATGAGACAAGATAGCCAAGATGATGATTCGGTACATGAAATGGGAAATGCAATTGGTGGAGCAATAGCAGCAGGTGGCTCCCGGTCACCGGCAATGGAATATCGTTTCTCTCTGCAGCCCATTACAATGTCCGGAGATATTAATACAGGCATGGAAGTGGTGTTACGTGACGGCCAGGCGGCTGGTCCATCCAATGCCGGCCAGGCCGGAGCCGCCGCCACCCAACATCAGAATCAAAGCCAATCGGATATGTTGACACCAACCACACCCACTTCCATGGGCAGTCTTATACCATTTCCCCGTGTACAACCTGTTGCAGTGCCAAGCACCAACATGGACATTATACCTTCCAATCCGGGTGCCTTGGGGGTGGGACGAACACGCCTTGCCTATGAGGTAAGCAATCGCAAACGTTCGGTGGAGAATGCCATCGATGGCAATGGCAAAGACGATGTGGTCATTGAGGAAAGTATACTCTCATTGCTGCTGAAGTTGCACTCACAGCTGAGTGGTACCCTGGACAGTTTCTCCATCACCGACGATGATGATCAAGAAGCTGAAAACACCACCCCATCATCGTCTGCCATGGATGTAGACTGTGAAGATTCTGCCGAAGAACCTTCAACCTCGTCGGCAGCCAAAGCTGCGGCCGCCTCTAGTCAAACAAAGAAACGCAACATTAAAGTGTCGGATTCACGAGTGGGCGATGGCCCCTTCTTCATAGGCAATCTGCTGAGGAAAATCGCCCAACACGATGAGTTATGTGCCCAAAACATCGATGAAATACGCCGTAAACTCTGGCCAAATCAAAGGGAAAAACAAGCCGAAGCAAGGGCTCGTGAGGCCAAGGAGAAGGAAGAGAGGCGCAAACGTGCCCGGGAGAGGCAAATGAAAATGATGCAAGAATTCGCCAACAAACAAAAGGAATTCATGCAAACGGCAGCCGCCTCCAACTTGGATGCTGGCATGGAAGAAGAGGAAGAACTCTATGAGGAACAACCCCGCGAAAAGGAATACGATTGCATTATCTGCAATTGCACGACACCCAGCACAGAATCGAATCCCATCGGTTTGGTGGTGCTCGTCGAGTCTAGCGGCATTGTGGGGCACCGACGCCGCACAAGTGAACGTCTACCACTGCCTCTAAGTCCCGAAGATGAGGAGCGACTGAAACATAGCAGCCGCCTGGCAACGGAATTCAATCGTCGCACCGAACTGCTAAGTTTGAAATTTGGCGAAGAATCATGGTATCTATCCAACAACATGGCCTATGAAAACGGTGTACACGTACAGTCGTGTGGTCATCACGTTCACCTCAGCTGTTTGGATGCCTATCTGAAGACACTGTACGCCAGCCAAAGACAACATCAACACGAGCGCGGAGAATTCTATTGTCCTGTGTGTCGACAACTATCGAATTCGGTACTGCCCTTGAGTCCACAACTGGATCGTCCAACGCCTGTTGTACGTTCCGGGCAACAGCCTTTCGAACAGTTGGTAGCGGAATTAACCAATCTTATTAAGGAGAATGAAAAACCACCGGTTAGTTGGGAAAATTTGTCAAAATGTTGTGCTTTTACATAACGTCCTACCCACCTCTTTCCCTCTCTTTCAGATCTCAACAAAACTATCCGAAGCCATGGGTCGTGCAATGGAAGATATGACAAATATAACGCATCGTAAAATGAAACGTGTACCACCCACGTTCCGTAGCCTATTCATTTTTGTTACCTCAATAGCTCGCACCAATTTAGAATCTGAAATTATACAACGCGGCGGAACGCTGTGCTCCACCAATCCAACACGGTATAAGGCCAAACGTGATTGTATTGTACCACTGCTACATGTACTGTCCGTACATGTGCGTGTACTAGTCGAATGGCCGTTGTGGAGTTCCTGGGCTTCGCTGGCCGGTATGCCGGTAACGGATATTGCCTCTGTGCCTTCACACTGTCGTGAAGTGATACCGGCAATTTTAGCGGATCCAATAGCATTGCTATTGAAATACATACTTCTGGCTCCACTACATTTAGATCAGGGTAAGTGAGGATATATTTTGAAGAGATGTTGGGAAATTGTTTTACTTTCCATTTTTTTTTAATCCGTTGCAGAATATTTCACATGTATGGTAAAGGTTATGTACAATTTATTGTACTACCAAATTGTCGTGCAGCTATGTGTTACCCTGACTGATCTCGAATGTGATTACATTCTGGCCAACTTTGATGCTTCCCCCTCGGCTGAATCACAAGCGGCCACTTCCAATCGTCGCAATTCGATGCGTTCCTCTCCCCATGAATATTTGGGCAGAGCCATGGCCTTAGTTTTGAAAAATACCAATAGAATGTCTCACTTAAGGCGTGACAGTATACCTTCCACCTCCGCTGCTGCTTCCGCCATGAATGCCACCCTTACAGCCACTGCCAATGCCGCTGCCGCTGCCGCCGCAGCTACAACAGCCGGCTCGAGTTCTAGCAATTCTCCCACGACCAGTGGTACATCCATACTGGCGGGCATTGAAGTCAATCTTAAATCAATGGAAAATAAATTACAAACTTTGTGTTTACCATTTTTGCGTATTGCCGCTCTGCTGCGCCAGCATTTGTATCGACATGAAATGCCAGAAATTTCAGCACCCGGTTTGGAATTTGTACGTTTGGTTTATTACTTGGAGTTGGTAACCGATTCAATGGATTGGGATTGTTTTAATGCATCGAAAGGTCTATGCTTTATACCCGGCGGTTCAGAGGATACATTACCCAAATTTTGGTGTAGACAATTAATGAATATCCGACCACCAACGGATACGGTACGAGAATTGGTTATACTCAATCAACATGCTTCGTGGCATCAACCAAAACTTTTGCAATTACCAAGAGAATATGAACGTTTGTTTACGGTAAGTATACAGATCGCAAATTTGATATATTGACTAGCATGCTCACTGAGTTCTCTTTTATAGTATTACCATGAACGACCATGCCTGAATTGTTATAAAGTACCTAAGGAAAGCTCTATATGTTTGCTGTGCGGTACCATTGTGTGTCTGAAACAAAACTGTTGCGCCGAAAATGAATGCTGTGAAGCTGTCAGGGTAAGTTATGGATTAACAAGTTATAAAGTATCAGCGATTTTGCCAACAGATGTATACCCTCAGCCACCTCAGTACGATTATTTAAATGTATTTCGACTTCTGTTATGATTGTTTTAATTGTTGAGCATCTTTGGAGTTGATTTGGAAGAAATGGGCTAAAATTGTCCATTTCGTGTCGGACCTAAGTAAATACCGTTTCGCCGACAGATGTATGCCCTCAGCCAATGTTCGATTATTTAAATATATTTTGAATTCTGTTATGGTTATGTAAATTGTTGAGCCTCTTTGGAGTTGGTTTGTCCATTTCATATCGGACCAAAATAAATACGATATAAATATTGCGACGTGCCAGGTTACTTCCTTCACTTTATTTGAGATATGTGACATGTGTGAGGTACCAGAAGAAGTTCGCAGATATATCCCATCTTCACAACAGATATTGTGTCAGCAAAAATATTTGTATGTGTGAAATTTGAAGAGATTTTTATGCTTATTTCGCTTTCTTTGAGCGTTATGTTATTCAAAATCTTAAACGCTTTTGGGGGAGGTACCAGAGAGAATGGTCCGACATCTACCATCTTTTTAACAGATTTTGTGTTGATGGAAATATTGAGATGTACCAAGTCTGAATGGAATCGGATATTGATTTCGGATTTTATGAGCTTCAGAGATATTCAAAATTTTAACCCTTTGTGGGGGAGGTTATATAAGGAGTGGACTATCTTCACATCAGATTTTGTGTTAGTAGAAACAATGTCATGTGAAATATGAAGAAAACCGGATGCTCATTTCGAATTTAATGATCGTTTTTGGTTATTCAAAACATTCCAAGTCTGAATGGAATCGAATGTTAATTTCGCGTTTAATGAGCTTCAGGGATATTCAAAAGTTTCACATTTTGTGGGGGAGGTACCAGAAGGAGTGGACCGATATATCCTACCTTCACACCAGACCTCAGGTTTATAAAAATATTGTGATGTGTGTAATTTGAAGACAATCGGACTCTTACATCACATTTTATAAGAGTTATAATTATTCAAAATATTGACCCTTTGTGGGAGATGTACTTGATGGAGTGAACCCATTTTTACACCTGACCTAGAACTGATGCAAATATTAGGATTTGCAAAGTTGGAGCAAAATCTCTCTTTCTGTGGAAAAAATATTTTTTGAAAATTTCGACCTTTTGGGGGGGAGGTACTAGAAGGAGTCGACCGATACATTCCATTTTCACACCAGACCTCGGGTTTCGGATTATCGTTTCTCTTTCTGTGCAGTAAAGTTTGGATCAATCCTTTGAGAGTTATCGTGCGCATCAGCCAAACAGACAGACGGACATCGCTAGATCGACTCCAAATTTCGTGAATTTGGTCCAAGAGACATAGGGTCTAAAACCATTATTTGGTTGAGCCACGTTTTGGCCGTATCAAATGATATTTACCCTCTCTAGCCATATGGCTAAGGATGGCTCTCAAATGGTCCATCTGCTAAGTCAAATTTTGGCATACTCTTTCCAACATTTCGGCCGTTATCTGACGGAAAAAGGCTACAATGTTGTCTTCGAATGCATCCTTTGAAAATATTTCTTTCAATTTTTCGAGAAAAAAAGAAGATATTTACTTTATTTTTGATCAATTTATCCCCGGCCATTTTTCAAGTTGATGTATGAAATAGATATAAAGTCTCGTTTTAGGCCGAAATTGCCAAAAGGAGAAATATTCTACACAACATTTCACTATAACTCTCAAAATAAATCACATATCTAGCCATAGTAGTATTTAAGAAAATTAAATTCGAAAATTACACATTTAAAGTGAAAAATATGTGTTTGCGTTTTTGACTGTTAATTTAAAACGTTTCCAATTTGACTCCATATCTCCCTTAATACTTTAATTTTTGGGGAATGTTTCAAAAGCGAAAATAATCTACACCAAATTTCATTATAAGTCACAGAATACGCTTTATATCTAGCTATAATAGTTTTTAAGAAAATGACATCATTCGAAATTTAAGATTACAAGTGAAGATTATGTGTTTACGTTTTTAACTATTAAATATATGTTTCCAATATAAGTCAAAATAACACATAATACTTCATTTTTTAGGAAAAGTGTCAAAGGACAAAATATTCTAAATCGTATTTCAATATGTGTTTCTGAACAAAAGAATTTTGTATAATTAATCTGTACCATAAAAACATATATCATCAAATTTGGTTTAAAAGAAACTTTTTTTTATTTTCGATAAATTTAGAATTTTTTTCCGAATTACAGAAACTTTCTACCTCCTATAATATTTAATTTTTAAGGGAAAGTGTCAAAGTTCAAAATATTCTAGATCGAATTTCAATATGAGTTTTTGAACAAAAGAAATTTGTATAATTAATGTGTACCATAAAAGTATATATCATCAAATTTGGTTTATAAGAAACTATTTTTTTTTATTTTCGATAAATTTAGAATTTTTTTCCGAGTTACAGAAACTTCATACCTCCTATAATATTCAATTTTTTAGGAATGTGTCAAAGGACAAAATATTCTAAATCGAATTTCAATATGTGTTTCTGAACAAAAGAAATTTGTATAATTAATGTTTAACATAAAAATATATATCATCAAATTTGGTTTATAAGAAACTATTTTTTTTTTTTTTTTTGTTTTTGATAAATTTAGAATTTTTTTTCCGAATTACAGAAACTTCATACCTCCTGTAATATTTAATTTTTAAGGGAAAGTGTCAAAGGACAAAATATTCTAAATCGAATTTCAATAGATGTTTCGGAACAAAAGAAATTTGTATAATTAATGTGTACCATAAAAACATATATCATCAAATTTGGTTTATAAGAAACTATTTTTTTTTTATTTTCGATAAATTTAGAATTTTTTTCCGAATTACAGAAACTTCATACCTCCTGTAATGTTTAATTTTTAAGGGAAAGTGTCAAAGGACAAAATATTCTAGATCGAATTTCAATATGAGTTTCTGAACAAAAGAAATTTGTATAAATAATGTGTACCATAAAAATATATATCATCAAATTTGGTCTATAAGAAACTATTTTTTTTTTTATTTAGTTTAGAATTTTTTTTTTCGAATTACAGAAACTTCCATGAATTATTGTGGTATATAATATCACACTGTCGGCTCCGCACGACTACAGCCTTTGTTTACTTTATTTTTCCCAATTTGCTAAATTTAAAAGAAAACTAATTGTAATTTATATTTCTTACTTTCAGCATACCATTACTTGTGGTGGTGGCATTGGTATATTCCTGGTTGTAACATCAACATACATAATTGTGATAAGAGGTCGTCGGGCATGCCTTTGGGGATCACTATACTTGGATGATTTCGATGAAGAAGATCGAGATTTGAAGTAAGTTTCATTATTGCTGCCATTTTCGCTGCGACTAACCTGGTATTCTTCTCTTTTACAGACGTGGCAAACCCTTATACTTGAGTCAGGATCGTTTCAATCTATTAGAGTCTCAATGGCTATCACATAAATTTGCCCATACAAAGCATACATGGGTATTCCATAGAGATTTGTTGTGAAATATGCAAGAATTATTACGCAATATTCAAGACATGATAGTAGACCTATGAGGAGAAATGATGTTCATTTATATATATATATATAGAAACTAGACTTAACAAAACTAACAAGAAATTTTATTTTGTTTTCGAATCTCAATGGTTATCCTAAAGACCGTTAAAATTTCTAAGCCTTTTGTTTGAAGACAACAATATTAATATTAATTTCCATCTGTCGCCCCCAGGAGCTAAATTGAAATTGACTTATATGAAACGAACATACAACAACAATTTGATCACTTGATGATATTAAACCTTATAAAATATGTACGTAATATTCTGCGAGCAGCCACAATAACAAACACAATAAAATTACAACAACAACATATAACGCCTAATAACTAAATAACCAAGTTAAATATTATGGAAATTACTTTGTTAAATCATTGATTATATTTATATTTCTTAATTAAATTGTTTATAACCTCCTTCTCTTTCACGCTCTTCTTTTACTTTTTTTGCTTTAAAAATTAAATTTATTTAATAATTAGACTTTTTAATATAATTAAAACAAAATACACTTCGTGTAAGTAATAATTTAATTATTATATACCAACCATTATCGTAATAGATTTTTTTGAAATATTAAACATATTATATTAAAGGGTATATCACAAGAAAAAACCCAAACAAAAATGAACAAATTTCATTAAAATGAAATAAAAAAAACTAACCACATTACTTTACATCTTTATTTGAATTTAACAACAAAAAAAGACAAAACGAATGAAAAGAGCATATTTTTCAAAATATATAATATAATTTTTAAAAATAGTTTAATTTTTTTATAAATTTCCTTTGTAACACTAATAAATAGTTGGCCTATAACTAAAAGAAATGTTAAGTAAGAATTTAAATAATATGTTTTATTAAATTTGAATAAATACACAGAAAAAAAGAAAACAATTTTTTTTAAATACATACAAATAAGAACAGATACACATATATTTCATTCAATTTCACAGATAGTAAAATTAATTCAAGATTTGTCATTCAATAAAACAGCAAGATGAAAGAAAATCAGTAATCTCTTCAACCAATATATTCAGAAAGTTCATGGCAAAAACACTACAACAATTCAGTGCGATTTTTCCACAAGGTACAACGTTGTAACATGATTGAATGGCAAATATACATTTCTTAATCGGATCTGGTTTTGGCATACCAACACATCGGTAAATTATTCCAAAGCAAAAGTGAAAAAAAAAGAATAAAAATAATGTGGTTATATGTAGGAAACCGTCGATTCATTCATTAATCAATCTTTCAAATTTTTTATAAAAATATACTACTTTTCGTAAGAAATTTAATTTAAAAATAAAAAAAAACATTCTATAATAAAAAAATATCATAAAAATAAACAACAAAAATAATTCAATAAATAAAGGCCGCATATGCATGTAGCTATAGTTTTACTAGTTATTATATAAATAACTTAGCTAAATAAATATCTAATTCTTAAATACAATACAGATATATATGCAATATTTGTGTTTTGAATTTCGGGATCTTTATCATAGCGACTAAGGAAGTGCAGACGATTTTGCAGGGATAAACAACAAGAACAACAATATTCAAATAAAGACCACACAAAAAATGGTGGGCAATAGAGATGATTTGTTGCGTCAGCCTCATAGTATCCATGGTAGAAGAAAACAGGTAGATGCATCAGCGCTAGGGAACATTTATATGTGAAAATTTTTAAAATGTTTTTCTTTTTTTTAAATTGCTTGTTATAAGTGTTCCTATACGACACCAATCGGAGGTTGGTATGATATACGTTTTTCAACAATGTTTACAATTTTGAATAATTTTTTCATTCAAATTTTTAAAATTGGTTTGACAGTTCATTGTCCCAGCAGCTGTGTCGATGCGGCTACCTATATTCTTCTACCATGATAGTATCCATAAAATGATTTGAACAATTATTGCGATTGTTTATTCCTATGCGCCTACAAACGTTAAATTAGCCATTATTTCGTTTTCTCTTTCGTTTTTATTCATTCAAACTAGCAAAAACAATAAAATCGACAGCCACAAACAATTAAAGTTGCATCATTATTCCTAGATATCTTCAATGCTTCTTCATGATAGTATCCATAAAAGGATTTGAATAATTATTGCGATTGTTTATTCCTATGCGTCTGCAAGCAACGTGAAATTAGCCAATATTTCGTTTTCTCTTTCGTTTTTATCCATTCAAGCTAGCAAAAACAATAATATCAACAGCAACGAACAATTAAAGTTTCATCATTATTCATAGATATCTTCAATGCTCGTAAGAACATGGCATATATGCCCCGTATAAACATATCGTAAACAACTGAGAGAATTGGAACTAGTTCTCACAGTTCTCTTCAGCGAACAGTCTCATAGCCACATAGTTCGTTTATTCATTTGTGACCTACTCCATTTCAGATTAAATTTTAATTTCTTTTCTTTCCGTGACATGGAAAAATGGCTAAGAGATCGTCTATCCAATTGCCTGGACTTCCAGGTACCGGATGATATGATAAAATATATTCTATCCATGAAAAATTCTAATGAATTCGATGAGTACTTTGAATCTTTGTTGAACAAGGATTGTGAGGACCATCGTCTATTCCTAACGGACTGTAAGCAACGTCTATTCAGTAAGGCTTTGGCCAACAAGAAACAACAAAATCAGCCGCCTCAAACGAAGAAATCCCAAAGTCATGGTTCATCAGAGATAAAGCAAAATAAGTCATCATCGCCAACGAACAGTAAGCATGAAGGTGCAGGCAATGGGCAACAACAGGCACAAGGTGCCAAAAGAAAAACCAAATATGTTAGCCTTTATACAAATGATGGCAAGGTTATTGGTGACACGATTATGTTGAAGGGTCGCCGCTTGTGTAATTGTCAAGCTTCGCAGCATAAGCTGATAAATAACTGCCTCACATGTGGACGCATAGTGTGCGAACAGGAAGGCAGTGGCCCATGTCTGTTTTGTGGTGAAATAGTTTGCACAAATGAAGAACAACACATCCTAAAATCGGCAGGTAAAAAAGGAGAGAACCTTATGAAATCTCTCAAAGAGAAGGGTGGGGGTGAGTCATTGAAAAAAGCTCTGGAACAACGTGACCGTCTTTTGGAATACGACCGCAACAGTGAGAAGCGTACCACCGTCATTGATGATGAATTGGATTACTTTGAAGAGAACTCCGTTTGGCTGTCGGATGAACAGCGCAAAAAGTTTGAACAGTTAAAACAAGAAATGCACGATCGCAAACATGCAAGTCGTATTAATCGGAAAATCAAAATTGATTTTGCTGGTCGCGCCGTGGATGATGATGTGACCATAACGGCCGAATATGAGAAGGCAGTGCTGAAAGAAGTTGCAGCTGTTAATGCAAAAACGGACAACACCAACAATTGGTCAAATCGCAAACATTCACAAAAAGCCAATGATGATGGTGGTGATGTTGATCCAAATTTAGATGGTTTACGTCCCATGTATCGACCGTCGGCCGAAGAAAGGGCCCGCAGCAAAGGTCAAACCATGAATGATGGTTTGGAGCGAATTTACAATCGTGTTCAGGACAAAGAATTACTTGAGATGCAAGATCTGCGCCAGTGCCTGTCTATGCATCAGCCATGGGCTTCACTGCTGGTGGCGGGTATTAAGAAGTAAGTGGTCGGTATTTTATTTCACAACAGATAATTACTTAATTTTTAAAACAATCCAGGCATGAGGGCCGTGTTTGGTATAGCGAGCATCGGGGTCGTTTGTGGATTGCATCAACGGCAAAGGAACCAAGACCAGAAGAAATTAAAGAGCTTGAGAATTTCTATCGAGTTTTCTATAATGGTAATTAGTGTTCATACATTTTTTTCAAACAATATTTCCTAAAAGAAAACCTTTTTCTAGATCCTACTATAAAATTCCCTGAACACTATCCAACCGGATGTCTTTTGGGTTGTGTTAAAATTGATGAATGCCTTCCCCAGGAGGAGTATCAAGAACTATATCCTGGCGGTGAATCCGATTCACCATACGTCTTTATTTGTTCCAATCCCGAACAGTTACCAGTTGTATTTCCCATCAAAGGCCAACATAAGATATGTAAGTTATAATAATCATCATGTATCTTCTAAATGAATTTTGATTTGAAACATTTTTTTATTGCAGATCAAATCGATCCTAAAATTCACAATGCCGCGTGTAAAACTCTGTTGCGCATGAAAGCTTCAAAGGGATAAGAAATACATTTTAACTTAGAAATGCCACGTTCCGTTGATAAGTTATTTAATTGATAAAAAAATAAACATATTTTTATACCCTACAACACTATGTGTTGGTGGTATTATAAGTTTGATTGGGCCAAAAATTATGTAACACCACGAAATATTGGTTTCCCACATAGGAAAGTATATATGGATCATCCTAGCTCGCCGAGCTGAGTCGATCCAGCTATGTATGTCCGTCCGTCCGTCTGTCCGTCTGTCCATGTTAATTTGTAATCACTCTACAGGTCGCAATTATGGCCCGATCTTCACGAAATTTGGAATGGAGGTCGGGGTTGGGCCAGAATAGAACCCTATTTCTTTTTGAGATGATCGCCAAATGTTTAGGGGTTGAAATGGACCAAATACTGAAAAAATTTCGGATTTTGCAGTAGCTATACAGGTCGAAATTATAGACCAATCGACGCGGAATTTCGCATGTAGCTAGAGTTTAGGACGGGGAAAAAGCCTACCAATTTGGGTGGTCATCGGATAATATTTAGCGGGTAAAATAGACCATATATTTTGTGTTGAAAAAATTCAACATTTTTCATTAAACCGCTAATATTTTAAATCCCGGCGAAATCACAAAGCCATGACAAGGTTACTTCTGACCTTTACATTGATGTTAACATCCAACAAATCGGATATATAGCAAAATATGTTCGATATATATGTCTATCAAAGAAGATATGCTTGAAAGATCCCTTATATGTCGAGAACGGCTGAACTGATTTCGACAGTTCTCATTAATTCAGAATGGCCTCTTGGCAGGAAAGAAAAAACGTCTAAAAAAATCGCATAAAAATATCTCTCTAAAGATGAAAATATTGATTTTTTAAAATTTTCTCATATTTTTTCAATTTTGTCATATTTTTGGCATATTTTCATTTTGAATTAAACATTTGGTAATATTTCTACAGCTAACAAAACTAAGTAGTTATGACATCAGAATATCATATACAGATCGCATTTATGGCCCGATCCAAGAATAGAAGCCTACTCTTTTTGGAGATGATCGCCATATATTTAGGGGTTGAAATGGACCAAAAAACTGCAAAATTGTCGGCAGGTCGTAATATTCGCCCGATCATCACGCACATTTGAATGGGGGTTACCGGACATTGCAAAAGCCAAGCAGTTTTGGATGGCCATCCAAAAATATTCAATGTTTGCCAATAGTTTGCCAACTTTTGTAGACAAAATACGAAAATGTCCATTCCAGAGACTTTTTGGAGAATTCACAAATACAGGAAAGACGCACTTCTGACTATTTTGTTAACGCTGATTTCGTTAAAGATTATAGTCAAATGGCTGTATCTCATATAGATGCGTTTCAGTCAAAAACCAATAATAAATGTTAATCTTTTGCCACTTCTGAGAGATTACAGGTCTTTGGGAAATATTGGTTCCAGATCTAGGAAGACCATTTACGTGCAACATCTACCAATAAATTGGAAATGAGCAAATTAGTTTAAGTTGTTATTTTTCGAAAATTAGAGAACGAAACCTGATGATCTTTAATTATTTGTCACAATATCTTGTAGAATTCTGTCGAGTATTTCACCTATATAAACTGTATGGTTTATTATAGTGTTGTAGGGTATTCAACGGTCGGCCCCGCTCGACTGTAGTCTTTGCTTACTTGTTTAAAAACTACTTCGGTGCACTCTTCTAAACAAGCCGATTTCGATTTGAAATTCGAATATTTCAATTTGCAATTTAAATTGTATTTCTTTGAATTTATTCATTCTATTTTTTATTTAGTTCTTTATTTTTCTGTAATTTACTTTGATTTGTTTATATACAACATGGTGGAAGAGCACTGAATTTCAAAATTTTAAATGATATGTCAAAAAATTTAAAATGTTTTTTTTTTTTCTAAAAATGATATATTTTTATGTTTTCTTATATGACGCCAATCGGAATTTGACGTTTTTCGACAATTTGAATAATTTTTCATTCAAAATTGATTTGACAGTTAATTTTCCCAGCAGCTGTCTCGATGCGACTACCTGTATTATTCTACCATGATGCACAATGGATTTGTAAACAGGGTGAGATGAAAAAACTGCAACCAACTACAGACTGCTGCCATTTCTAAGCCACTCGTCCGACAGCTGTTTATATGTAAATAAATCTTTTGTGTCTCGTACCATCGCTCGTTACCGTGATACTATTAGCGCAGCCCGACGTCAAGGAAGGAAACAGTAACATCAGCAGAAATGGTCGAAAATTAAAGAAGCGACTTGATCGAAACCAGCGTCGCAGTGGCTGAATAATAGCTCGTGAGCAGAACATATCGCAATATTCCATTCGGCAAATATTGAAAAATGAACTCGGGGTAAAACCATTGAAATTTCAAAAAGTGCAAGAACTTGCACCGCAACATAAAGAAAATAGACTCAAAAGAGCTAAAGTGTTGCTTCCATGGCAATAGAATACAGGTAGATGCATCAACGCTTGGGAGCATTGATATGTCAAAAAAAATTAAATGTTTTTTCAAATATAAGTAGATTTTTATATGTTTCCCTATACTACGTCAGTCGAATTTGAATTCGTGTTTTTTTAATTTTTTACAAATTTTAATAATTTTTCATTCAACATTTTCAATTCCAAAATTGGTTTGACAGCTGTGTCGATGCGTCTACCTATATTCTTCTACCATGGTTGCTTCGCTTGGCCGAAAGTGGTGAACTGTCGAATTTTGTTTTCTCCGATGAGAAAACATTCGTTGTCCAGCAGTTTGTAAACAAACAAAATTATCGCCGCCATAACAGCCGATGGTCGCTCTCCGCTCGTATTAATCGACCGTGGCATCAGAATAAATGCCGAATATTATCGCGAAAACATTCTGTAGGGCACGCAAACATTTTAGCCGCAGACCTTGAACATTCCAACAGGACTCAGCACCATCGCACTCAACACGCGCCACCCAAGAATGTTTACAAAATGAGTTTCCTCGCTTCATTTCCAGCGCGTTTGACTTTGTTACAGTTTTTTATCTCACCCTGTAGATCAGATTCATGGTAGAAGAATATAGGTGGACGCATCGACACAGCTGCTGGGACAATAAACTGTCAAACCAATTTTGGGTTTGAAAATATTGAACCAAAAATTATTTAAATTTGTAAAAATTGTTGAAAAACGCGGAAATGGAATTGAAAAATGGAAATGAAAAAAATGTCTCTTACTTAAAAAATGCCTCGCACTGGCAATTTTCTGGTAATTCCTTGAGGGCTTTCGTTTTTATACAAAATTATAAATAACATTCACAGAAATTGCAATAATACAAAGTGAAAATTTCTGAAAAAATTGCCTTGTATAAATGAAAGAGGAAAGATCAAAAAAAGAACGATACAAATAAACTCACCTTATCTAAATCATGATTATAACCGCAAAAAATGTGCTTAATTGTATAGAAACAAAATTGTTTTTTTTTTTTTTGATTATTTAATTTCACAAAATTCATTTTCAAAAACAAAAATATGACAACAGACTGATAATTACATTGTAGATTAATTTACCTTAACGCATTACAACACCCAATTATAAGCAGAAAAGTAAAGCAATTTTTAAATGACATTAACAATTTAATTTACAAATTTTATCAAAAATGTTTTCATGTGAACAGAACCTTCTCAAAGTCCATGTGAACATGACATTACTTATTTTAGTCTCAAGAAAGTGTGAACAGGTCTACTATGTTTTCGCCTCAACGGCAAATGTAAAATAATTGTTGAATAGAATTCGCCTAATGGACAAGTTAATTAATGAATGGGTTTCATTCCGGTTGTTGTTAACTGACTGTTGACGAAAGGTTGTTATTGTTCTAGCCTTCGGACAAGTTTTTTATTTTTCAAATTTATTGATAAGCAGTCATTCATTCCAAATCTCCTCGGGCTCGGTTCGTGACTGATACAAATCCAGATAAACATTTCCAAAAATATGGTACAGCAATGGGAACTAACAGCGGAGGAAATAAACGAAATTGCAAAGGAATTCAAACGAGTTGGTGGTAGGTCACAAGTGTGAGGGCAGGATGATTGATTGCGTGATAGAACACAATTTTTTTGATAATAATCCATTGCATTTTACAATGACTTTCATTTCACAATAGATAACACATACCTAGATCATGCTGGTACCACTTTATACAGTGAGCGTCAAGTGGATGCGGCATGTAAAATTCTAAAGGAGAATTTATTTTGCAATCCACATACGTGCAAGATAACAGGAGATATGGTTGATCAAGTTCGTTACAGGTATTTAACTACGTCATAAATAAAATTCCAGTTGATATTGAAAATAACCATCTTTTTCCACAGAATTCTGCAACATTTCAATGCCGATGCCAGTGATTACAGTTGTATTTTCACAGCCAACGCAACGGCAGCTCTTAAATTGTTGGCTGAGACATTTAATTTTGGTGCCGATGATGACCAAGGAAATTTTTATTACTGCCAGGAGAACCATACTTCAGTATTAGGCATGAGAGAGTTGGTGAAAACGAAAAATCAATTCGTCTTAACCAAAGATGAACTATTACTTAATCTCAATGAATGCCGTGACAAAACATTCCCTTCCAAGGATGAGAATGCCAAATCGTTGGTAGTGTTCTCAGCCCAATGTAATTTCAGTGGTTATAAAATGCCTTTGGAACTGGTGTCAAAAATTCAACAGCATGGATTAGTTAATGAAGGTTTGCAGGTGGCTGGTCAAAAAATAAAGGAAACGAAGAAGCCCAGTAAATTTTATGTTTGTTTGGATGCAGCAGCATTTGTGGGTACCAGTTATTTGGATTGTTCCAAAGTAAAACCAGATTTCTTTTGTGTCTCGTTTTACAAAATGTTTGGGTAAGCTTCAAAAGCTTTATATTTTGATATAACATTAATTGTGGTGTTTCAGTTATCCCACAGGTGTGGGAGCTCTCATAGTCAGCAAAAGAGGCCAAGAAGCTTTGGAAAAACATTATTATGGCGGCGGTACTGTTAATATTGCAATGACACGAGAAAATTTCCATGAGAAACGTTCTGGCTTTATATCGCGTTTTGAGGATGGTACCCTGCCATTTCTATCAATTGTTTCTATACTGGAAGGATTTAAAACCGTGGAACGTTTAATACCATCTAGAGAGGGAAAGTCAACAATTGAACGTATTAGCTGTCATGTTTTCCAGCTTGCCCAGTATGCCTATAGGAAATTGTCCACCCTAAGGCATAGTAATGGTCAACCATTATTACAGTTTTATAATCATAATGGTTATGAGGACAAACAATACCAAGGAGGTGTTTTAACATTCAACATTTTGCGCAAGGATGGATCTTATATTGGTTTTGCTGAGGTTGCATGCTTGGCAGCCGTACACAATATCCAATTGAGGACAGGATGTTTTTGTAATCCTGGTGCCTGTCAAGGCTTTTTGCAGTTGAGCAATGATGATATACGCAAACAATATGAATCAGGTCATATCTGCAGTGATTATAATGATCTGGTGGATGGTGTGCCAACTGGTGCCGTACGTATATCCGTTGGTTATATGACTCGCAAAGAGGATCTTGATCAAGTTATAGAAATGATAGAAAAATGCTACCTAAGTACCGAGACAACAGAGAAACGTTTGGCTTTAATTGATGCCAGTCGATTGCCAGCAGCTTTACAACATATTCCCGAAAGATTAAAACCTCAGCTGAAAGAGGTGTGTATATATCCCATTAAATCTTGCGGCAGCTTTAAAATTCAAGAACCCTGGCCTTTGCAACCTACGGGTTTAGCATATGATCGAAATTGGATGATTGTGGATGCTACGGGCATGGCCATCACACAAAAGCATCATTCTCGTTTGTGCCTTATCAAGCCTGTGTTACTATTACAAAAAGGACTATTGGAAATTAGTTTTCCTGGCATGTCATCTGTTTATGTTCCCATTGATTTAGAGGAGCAGGAAAATAATGCTACTGTCAACTCTACCCTGTGTCAGAGTAAAGTCTGTAATGACTTAGTCACAGGTTATGACTGTGGCGATGAAGTTGCCCATTGGCTGGAGGACTGTTTGGAAACTCCAGGTCTACGCTTAATTAAACAACACAAACAAAGAAAGTCACAAGAAGGCGGCACAAAAGAGATATCCTTAGCAAATCAAGCACAATTCCTTCTTATCAATCGTTCTTCCGTCCAGTGGTTGGCACAAAAAGTAACCAGCGAAAAGGAACCACTACAAAACACCATAGATCGTTTTCGGGCAAATTTTGTCATTGAAACGAGTAGTGCTTTTGATGAAAATGACATGGAAATGTTAAGCATAGGCGATACCACTTTTAATGTTGATGGTTTTTGTACTCGATGTCAAATGATATGCATTGATCAGCATAGCGGTCAAAAGACAACAGAACCTTTGCGCACAATAGCCCGAGAATTTGAGGGTAAAATACGTTTTGGCATCTATCTATCGCTGCGTGATGTTCCCAAGGAAGGATCGTATTTATCACTGGATGAAAAACTTATTATAACGAAAAAACAAACTAAATAAAGAAAAAATATTTTTATTAAAAAAATATTTTTCAAGTTTTCTTTTTATAATCTAAATAAACTACAATTTTTTGTGCTAGGATTTTATAGGAAACGCTCACATTATTGCACAATTTTCTATGGGCTGTTCTTTGGTCTTGACCATTGGCTGTCCTTGCTCAGCTCGTTTAATATTTTCCAAGACACTTTGGTGATCGGGAAAGGCCAATGATTGTAGTTTCGAGTGTACCAGTTCATCATTGATTTTTACTTCAAATGAGCCTTGTCGTCCTTTATGACAAACCATTTCCATATCTGGCTTTTGTTGGAGCAGGAAATTTTGCAACATCTTACATTGCCATTCGAAATTACATTTTCCGCTGTAAATGCATGTTACTCAAGTGGAAGGTGAACCTTGCAAATATGTGTTGGGTGTCTTACCAATACTCAACATCCACTTTTACCATGGTGAAATACAGAAAGATAAACAAATACGGCGATTTATGTGTTTTATGCAAGAGGCTAAGGCAAATTTTTTTCGCAACAGAAATTTCTTACAACAAAAACTGTGTTGGTACCATTATACGTCAAAATTCAACCACTATTCTTCTAAAAATAATTGTGTTTAAATCAATTTTTTAACATAATTCCGTTCATAAACTACTTTTCAATAGGTTTTCTTAAAACAGTTTGATATTCATACGCAATTTTTCATTGATAATTTTGTTTTTCTTTTTTTTTAACATCAACTTGTTTTGACACATTTCGGTGCCGTCAGCTGCGTTGACAGTTCCTGTAGTTCACTTTCCGGAATCGTTCTATTGAACTAGTTCGTTCTAGAAATAATGACATAAACAAAGGCTGACTATTAGGTAGTCGCAACAGCAATGCAGCAAAAACACCAGCGATGCATGAAGCATGATAATATTAAAAAGGTGAAGTCATTTGATATAAGCATTTGCATTTTCTGCAATTTACCTTGTGAAATGTCACAACAAAGAAAACACGTTTCCATTTTTGATTTTTGTATATACAATCGATTTATGAAAATACCATGGTAGAAGAATACATTTAGTCGCATCGACACAGCTGCTGGGACAATGAACTTCGAAACCAATTTTGAATAAAAAATATTGAAATTTGTAAAAATTGTTGAAAAATGCATGTCATAGCAATCACGAATCAATGAGTAAGGTTGCTCAACTTCTAAGAAAATGGAAAAATACAACTCTATGCTGGAGTCTCATAGTGTCAAATAGACTTTTAAATATGCGACACTTGGTTTTGTTTATTTTTAATATTGTTAACAAAATTCTGATATTGAGGAAAAACCGCGGAATAAGAATTGAATTTTGGGGTCATTCCACAAGATTGAAAATTGTAGGACAATAAAGTTGAATCCCAAGTTTGTACAATTTGCTGCCCATTAACGTCGAAAGTATGCCTTTATTTTGCAACCAAATTTAAAATAATTACAAATTATTGTATTTTTTATTCAAAGCAATATACACAAACAAAAGTTGTGTTCCAGAACCTAAAAGTTAGTACTAATTAGTGCTAATTCTACTACAACGCGTTCCCGTACTCCAAAAACTAGCAAAACTTGCAGCTCTCTCGAGAATAAAATGGCGCTGAGTGGTGCACATTTCTGCTTGTTTTAGCTACATGAATTTGGCCGAGCAGAAATGTGCAAATTGTAAATTTGACATTTAATTGGCAGGGCTAACAAGGTTGAAAAATGTATTAATACATTTCAATGTTCGCGCGTAACAACAAATGTAAAGAAAAAAGATTAACTTAAAAAATAAAGAATAACTAATATTTGTCGTGCAAAAAACAAAAAGAGAAAATATGGAGCAACTGATGTATTCACTTTTGGATGATTCCAGCAGTAAAGAGGATTGGCTGAATGAGGAATCAGACGAAGAAAACGTATTGGAAAACAGTGCAAAATTAGTAAAAGGTAAATTGGAAATTAAGCTTAGAATCAAAGTCGTTTGCTTATTACTGCGAACATTTTCTTTTTATTTTTTAGGTTGGCTGTCTTCCTAACTTGTAGCATTAAGTCTTCTTGCAGACTTAACATTAATTTAACCGGCGCCTCCAACCATTTCTAAATAAACACCATTCAAAAATAATTATTAATTTTAATTTATTTTCAATACTCATTTTTAAATTTTGGCGTCCATTTCAGTAAGGTTTCACTAGTCCGATTTAGACTGTTTTCTTTTGGAATTTTGAATGTTGACATTTTAGCACATTTCTGCTAATTTTCCGTTCCCTTATTTTTTGAGAACACCTAAATGAGAATGGCATTTCGTACTGTTCTCTCTTCTGCTAGTTTTACTACTAAAAAAGTACTGGAACACAACTAAAATGTGTAAATGTTTTGACAGAATAAGTGCACCCAAAGAAAAACATGTATTAAGGGGGTAGCTTTGTTTTACCTTCTGTAATTGTTCCATGAGAGAAACCTCCGATTGATGTCGAATAAGGAAACATATAAAAATCTACTTATTTTTGGAAAAATGTTTAAAAAAAATTGAAGAATACCATGGTAAATATTACAAGGTAGGATAGATTGATGAATTAATAAAGGTGTGGGTACATAAGCAGCTTTAAGTCTTCGCATGGCATATTTTTTGACATATCATAAAGGGATGCCAGAGCCGCACTCAAATTCTGCCGCCGTATTCCCTTTAAAAGTTGACATTAATACGACTAACCATGATGCCAAGCTGCTTATGTACTCTCACCTTAACAAATATAAAAAGAGGTTTTTGACACAATTCTCACAATATTTAAATTTAAGACAAAAATCGCATTCTTATTTGCCTAGTCTAACGCGTGAATTTGGTTGAATTATGTGTGTTATTTTCAAAAAGTTTTTTTTTTATCATTTTTGCAACTTACAACATATTTTGAATATCGTGGTGCTGCATTGATGCGACTACCTAATACATTTGCCTTGACTCAAACTGTAAACAATTATGACTTTTCTTCCAATAAACAACACAACCTCTTGAACATTTTTAATTTTAAGAAATTAAACAAAATTACAAAGAAAATGTCCCGGTGCATCGTCATAGATCGTCGAAATGCTATTATGCTTATATGGATATTTGTGCTCAGTGGAATAAGACAAATTCATACCGATGATAAAAGTAGCACCAGCAGCTTAACAAGTGCCAACAACAATGAAGTTGCTCCCTACGTGATTCGGAATATTAATGATACATCTCAACAACTGGCTCAGTGTCAGAACAAAGCTCATCTCAATTGCAGCGAACTGCTGCATCCCTGTATAAAATGTATGTACAACTACACATGTCATTACGGCCAGGAACTGTATGTCAACTGTACAGCACTACATCAGGTGGAGTGCCAAGGTAGTCGATGGTTTTGGCATCAAATGAATTGTCGTTATTGCTACCAAACGGAAAAGTGGCAACAGAGCTGCGATCTAAAAAGCAATTGCAACTCAGTTAATGGTCAATTCTATAAGACCAACTGTACAGTGCACAGTGATGTCTTTTGTTTGGGAAATCGTTCGTTTACGCGAAACGTTAAATGTAATTGGACACAGGGCTATCGTTGGAGTACAGCGGTGATAATAAGTCTAACATTAGGTGGCTTTGGGGCAGATCGATTCTATTTGGGCCACTGGCAGGAGGGTATTGGTAAACTCTTTAGTTTCGGTGGTCTAGGGGTGTGGACGATAATAGATGTCGTACTAATATCATTGCACTACTTAGGTCCGGCAGATGGTTCGTTGTATATATAAAGAGTTAGTTATAAATACAGATAGTCTATAAGTAAAACTGTTAATACTAATAAAAATAAAAAACCGAATTTTATCTTTAACGAACAAAGTTCTTTTTATTTAATATTTTGTTACAATAGGTACACGTTATGGGTATCTATGTACCTCAGTTATCATCGTCGTCACCGAAACGTATATGTTTACTTATTAACTTCTTGACTTTCTCTCTGCCACGTTTCTGTGGCACCTTGACTTGTTTGTTCAATTTTTGTTCGCGGTCCTTTTCAATTTTTTGCCAATAAGCAGATTCTGTTTCTCCGGATAAAATTTGACACTGGTATTCAGCACAGCTGATTTTCTGCACAAATTCTTTAGCCAATTGTGCCGTTTCTAATCTAAGATATGCCTTCATGGCGCCCTCCTTTATGTCAATATATTTAACAGAAGGGTATTGACGCATATCAGCTTTGTACTCCTTGATATTTACACAGGGTTCCAGGAATGACATTTCCACTATGAGTCCAGGTTCATAGCCAAAGAGTGGTGCACGTTCCAGAGCAGGATTTTGCTGTGCCTTATCTGTCGCTAGAATTTTTGCGGGCGGTTCTTCCTCTGCTGCAGCCCCATAGAAATTCATGTTCATTTTTTGTAGTTTGTGTTTGGATTCTTTCGATTTTTTCTTCTGAGTTTTATTTGGAATTTGTGAACTGTTTTCATCCTTAACATTGTCCTTGTTTTGTTGCTTGATTTCTTGTTGCTCACGCCATGCCTTTCTCTTTAATTCCGCAACCTTTTCCCTTTGCAAATTTAGATATTTATTGCGCAAACGTTTCCAATCTTTTTTGGGTAGGATTTTAAGCTCGTAATAGGAAACATCGGTATTTAGTTCAGCCTTTCGTTTAAGTTTTTCTTCAGATTTTGATTTCTTTTTACGTTTTCGACGTTTCTTCTTTTTCGATTCTTTATCTTCGTCGCCGTTTTCATCGGGTTTCTTTGATGTATCTTCATCCTTTGTTTCAGACTCAGAAAGAGACGTTGTTGCTTCAGTTTCGGTTCCCTGATCTTCTTCTTGATCCTCGTCTTGTGAATCCGTTTTCAGCTTTTTTGCTTTAGGCTCAGCATCGTCTGACTGTCCTTCGGCTTTATTTCTTTTTCTATTTTCGTCTTTTGGGTGTTCCTCGCCCAACTCTTCTCCTGACTGTTCTTTGAGATAAGATTTAACACTAATCAATTCAGAGGGATCTTTTTCATCCATTTGTAATACCCCATTGAATTCTTTAAATGCCTGTAAAGCCTTTTTAAGACTGTCTTCCTTTTCGAATTCTACAAAACCAAATTCTTTAATTCTATGCGATTTGGCATATTTTGGAAGAGATATGTATTCAACTTTCCCAAATCTTTCGAAGATTTGTCGAACCCACTCATGATCGGCTGTAGAGGGTAGTGCTTCAACGTACAATGTTTTTTCATCAACATTGCGATTTTCCACCAATGGAGTTTTTCGTCTTACTTTTTGTTGACCTTCATCTAGCTCTAATAGTTGGGAATTGCTTAGGGATTTTGCAATGTCTTCCACGCGGCTGGTTAAAGCTTTCATCTTGTTGAATGTTAGAAATGTGTCCAATGGAACAACTAGGAGGAAAAATACAATTTATCAATCAGAATTGAAGTGTTAAAAAACAGGTTTGTACTTACATGGATCCTTCTCAATTAATTGCTTGAGAAAACGATCCTTGCTAAGATTTGCATCACCAAAATAAAACTCCATTTGTGCTCGTATGGCATTGAAGTAATGCTTTTTACGTTTGCGATAACTTTTGTTGTTTCCCGTTTCCACATTATTACTATTTTCTTTAACGGTTGTAACAGTGTCGGCCTCTGCAGTTTCTATTGATTCCACATTAAGGACGTTGGAACTATGTTTTTTACGTTTACGACCAAGTTTCTTCTTTTCCGGTTCTGCCGCCGACGAAGACTCCTCATCTGTTGAGTCCGAGCCATTTGTATCAATGGTTACACTCGATTGATCCTTCACAGAATCCTCTTGAGAGCTAATGTCCTCTTTGGCTTTTCGACTCCTTTTACTTTTGGTGCCCATAATTTTACAGGTGTTGAGCTCTTTCTGTAAATTACCGGCTTTTTTTGCAAGAAAATCGTCAATTAATTGAGAAGTTCGAGATGTCAAACACAAACGAGTCGAAAAACGTTTGGCGTTTGTTTACAAGTAAAAACGAACAAACACAATTTCCAACGGCGTTCATTGTTTTTTTGGCGCGCATTTTGATAGGCCGTACATCATACGCTTGGGCAAAAAAAATTAATGGAAAATAAATTGAACTTTTAATAGTGTTTCATTGACATAGCTTTAATTGTTGAATAAAAAAATATATTAAAACATTTTAATTTTCGAAATCGTTATTAACATCGATATCTAATTAACTGTCTATACATGGGGACGTCACAATCTTTTATTGTGTTTAGCCTATTGCTATGCGCAGCAACTGTCAGAACTTGACATCTGTCACTGTGTAGCAAAAAAGAAGCAGCATCGAATAAAGAAAAGAGACGCTAGCAGAAAGGACGCCGATCATTTTGCAAAAAAAAATTGTATAGTTGCAAGGAAAAAAGTAATTATTTTATATTGTTATTGGAAACAAACAAAAAGTGAGATGTGATATATTGCTAACTAATTATTAAGATATCGTGGTAAACATTAAATAAAGCAGAAAAAGTGCATTAAGCAAAACATTATTTAAAGTAGATGCTTTTTTGTTAATAATAGTGAAAGGAATCCCTGTCTCCGAAAAACAAATATTGTGGGAAGTCTTGTGTCGACATGAACATATTATAGTGAACATTTAATTATTGGAAAATATGAATTCTTATGCTTCTACTCATATCTTTTTCAAGCAATATAAACAACTGGTACACCTTTTTATTTGTTTTTATTATATGAATGCCAGGTGTTTATCCTATCTTTATCAGTGCCCTGTGATGTATTCTTTTTAAAATATTAAATTATTTTTCTTTGTTCTATCCTAAGGATTTGAAACAGTTCCAATGTACAATTCAAATAGATTTACCACATAAACCAGGAGTTTGAAAAACAAATTTTGGTCTCAGTTTTATCCTGTAGCAAGCAATATGGAAACTGTTGTATTAAGCAGCGATATTGCGCGTCTCGTTTTGGGTAAGTTTGGTCAATTTTTTTTATTAAAAAGTATAAATGTTAATCTTTCGATTTCTTTTCTAGATTATTTGAAATCACAAAACCTGAAAAGAGCAACTCACATATTTTGCAAAACATCACCATATTTAAAGCAAGAATTCTCGGCATTTAAGCATGGTCTGCAGACACATTCATTTTTCCCAGAGCTAGCAGAAATTATATGTGAATATGTTAAAATATCTCGGAAAGGTAAGTGACCAAAGTACAGTTGCTGACTTATCACGTCATATATTTTCGATTCTTTTTTAGTTGATCAAGAAATTCCTAAACTAGGCAATGATGTACGCTTTGAATTTCACCGCTTGAAGCTATCGGAAAAGGTGTCGTTTCTATTGGATCGTACAGTGGAAGTTGATAACAAAGCGGAAAGTACTTCAACTACAAGTGTTTCGCCCAATTTACAAACATCGGCTGGTTCTGCCAAACAAACCGGCAATAGTATTAATTCCGATAAGGAGAATAATGGTAATGGTAAAAAACGTAAACGTCCACATGATCTCAATCATTCCTATAATGATATATCTGGTGATACTAAAACAAAGGTTTCACCATCGTGCCGCACAAGTCATTGGTCCAAGAAACGACGCATTCTTGAACCATATTGTTTTTTAAGCGCAAAAGCTCTGCAGAGGCATAGAATGCGACATGGTTACCGTTTGTCACCTTGTGCAATAGGTAGACAAGTTGATTTTAAAAGTCAAGAAGATGAAGATGACGACGACGACGAATGGTCTAATTCAAGTACAGATGCTACATCTGTAACAGAAGGCGATACTGAAAATGGAGAATGTGATCAGGATTGTGCTTATGAAAATGAAAAAGAGTTATTTAATGGTGAAAAACCAGCCAAAGAATCCACGCCACGTAACAAGTCCCAGGATACGGAAAAAATACGTACTCCAATATTACCGGTGAGTTAAGAAGAATCAATTTGCTTTTTCAAACTTCTCTAATATTCATTTGGGATATATTGTACATATTATGCGGTCTAAATTTATTTTTAATAAAAAACGTTTCTATTTTTTTCAGGAAATCTCTCAGGCCATTCTTGACAATCCTGAATTCCAACAGAAATTGGTAGAAAATATCAATCAAGCACTGAATAGTTCTGCAACAAAATTACCTTTATCAAACTTGGAAGTTAAAGCATCAGAAGATCAAACATCACAAACAAATAACCAAGGTTGTACTCAAGAGGACCCAACAATAAGCTCTAGTCAATTACTTGATCAAATGATCAAAAATATACTAGAAGCAACTGAAAAAGACCCAAGTTTTGATGCTATCATACACGATGTCGTAGAAGCATCTAATAAGCCAATCAGTTTACAATCAGCTGGAGTACAATGTAATATTGGAACGCCAACGTCAGATGCGTGTTTACCAGCTATGGGAGACTGTAATAAACCATTGTATACATCGACTGAACCACCGCCATTAGTACCAACACAACCGCAGTCAACACTTATTGGACATACTCCATCACAGCAGCAACAACAGTTACCTCAGGCAATTGGTGTTAGCCCAATAGAAATACCACCTCGCACACCCTTAATTATAAGAAATGCAGTTGCAGCAGCAAATGTTTCTAGCATGACTGCGCTAGGAGGCTCTGCCCAGGATCCCCCTAGTTTGACGGCAAATAACTCATTTGGATCGTTGATCGATCCGAATTTCTCCATTTCAAAATTAATAGTCTTAAATTCAAATGACAGTGCTCAGAAACATCATCCTGAGGTATCAATCGGTAATATTACTGCCGAGAGTATAATTAATCAGTTGTCTGCTAGTGGGGGTACGGGAAATGTTAGCGGCGGCGATACTGCTGTTGTAACCGAAACTGCAGGTGGCGATGAGCAGGTATTTTTTGATGCTACAACTGGTCAATTGACGTTCCCTTTATATCTAACCAATGATGGTCTTTTGGCGAATTTACCATTCCTGATTAATAATGAAGTGGTAACACAACAATTGCAAACAACCAATATAAGTAATATGGATGCCTCACGTATAGAAATTCCACTGCCAGAACCAATTGTTGTTACAGCCGATCAATTTCCCCGTAATTCGCTCATAATTGGTAGTATTAAAAAGTCAAATCAATTAGAAAACTCAAATGTTCAGCAAAAGACGGTGGAGAAGCCGCCGAACGTTGAAATACTTACATGCAACACAGGACCTCCAGGATCTTTGGATACTCGTCTATCGGAAAAAGCTACTCCATCGACAAGTGGTATTGTAAATACCAAAGCATATCGGAGTCTTTCGACACCACGAAAGCGTGCCTCACATGTAAGAACATTAACCTTCTCACCTAGAGGACCACAATTTTCGTCGGGGACACCATTGTCAACCAGACGGGAAGCTTTCAATCGAATGCAAAGAAACGCTCTGGCGAAGACCGGCAATGAAGTGGCAAACCCAGCTCATCCATTACAACAAACAAACAATGAAGATGTAAAATGTGCAAATTCTGAAAAACCCATTATAAAAAATGTTGAAATTTTGAAAGGCACAACGGCAAATGATTCTTCCTCTTCTTCGGTTAATGAGAGTACCACTCATATACCACCGCTTTTTGTGGCCGAGGAATGTAGTAACCAAACAGTTATTAACAAATATGGCTCAGCGGCAAAATCTGCTGCTGAACAAATAAAACCGAACAGCAATGTTTCGGATTTATCAAAATCTCACAATTCGACTGCATCTGTTGAGAATACACCCAAACGAAAGCAACAGAGAAAAGTTGCAGTGCGTTCCTGCAAGCGACAGTTGTCCAAATCTCAGAACGAGGAAGAGCTACAGGTCGACAAGGCGGAAAAAGAGAATGAAGTAAAAATACCACCACCCGGTACTGAGGAATACAAGAAATATATGATGGAGGAGTGGAATAGAATAAAGAATTCATCCAACACCGACCTTGATGTACGTTTGAGGGAATTAAACTCAAAAATGACCGTTTTGAAACCCGTGAAAAAGGTCAACACAAAGAAACGGGTAAGACGCAAAAAGCCCGCTGCCATAAAACGAAAGGAAAAAGAAATGGCCGAAGTTGCAGAAGAACTTGAAATTTCCAAAGAACGTCTAAACGAGTCTCAGGAAAGTGAAACTTTTCCTCAAGCAACACAAAACGATGCCATAGGCCAAGTGAAATCTGTAAAGCAAGTGCCTGGAGAAAGTCAAAATGTTGATAATGCCTGTCCGAAGAAAAAATCCAAAGAATTTGTTATACAAATATCAACGCCACAAAAAGTTGAAACTATTGCTTTAGCGGCAGATTGTGCGACTCAAGACAAAACCAAAGCCGAAGAAGGGAAATGCAATGCAAAATCAACTAAAGACTCTCTACAAATGAAGCCTGTAAATACCGAAGAATCTCACCCATCGAATTCAGAACATAATAGACAGTCAGGGGGTTCTTCACAGCCACAGGAAAAATCAAGTGAGTCAGTATTTCATGCACCCTCTGGTCATGCTCCACACATCCACCACCATCATCAGCAGCATCCATCTGTAGCTGCTCCACCACCACATATTAATGAGGCTTTGGAGAGGGAAAAACGGACATGCAACATAGCCCTACTTTTGGAGACACCCTACAAAGATCCAAATGCTTCAAATATCTCATCCACCTTTTTGCCACCAACACCAGGCATATTTGCGCCGTCATTGGAAACACCTGCCGGCAAAAATAGAAATCCGCACGATGATATGCAGGCTTCGACTTCGTTCCTATTCGGTTCCCTCACAAAAAGTGAACTTGATACACCAATGTTGAGTGCTTTAACTCCGGGATTCCGTTTTACTCCCTTCGGCATAAAAGATGCAGCAACGCCGCGTAGTGTAACTGGCACCGAATACTCTTCAGGTGGTGGTTCCTATTACAAGCCGGATGAAAGTGAAGATCTTGATAGAAATATTGATAAAATTCTTAGAGATTCGGCACAAAAGAATCAACAGCAAGAGCGAAATGAGGAAACAGATCGAACAGAAGATGACGAAGAAGAAGGTGAGGTAAGATCTCCGAAAACACCCGACAATAAAGAGCATGAAGGAAACACCAATGCCGTGGAAGTTGAAATACCTGTAGAAACATTAAAGGTTGAACCAATTGTTCTAAAGCGGGTCAAATCATTCGGTACTGAGGCTGTCGACAGCATGGAAACAGCTAAAATAGATCCCCATTATACTCTAGCCTCTGGTTTACCGGAAATAAGTGCAGCTGAAGAATCTTCATCTTCCTCATCGTCCTCGTCATCTTCATCCTCATCCGGGTCATCTTCCTCGTCCTCTTCTTCGTCGGATTCAAATACCTCTGCAAAATCTAAAACTGTTGTTGAGATAAAAACCACTCAAACCCTATTGGACTTGGAAAACCTCTCAGAAATATCCAGCACGGAGGATGAAGAATGGAAAAAGATAGTCACAGAAAAAGATGAGAACTCACAATTGGTAAACATCGATGGCGAAGTTCGTTATCCGGTGCGGAGTTGGTTAACACCAATAAAAGAGAATATTCCTACCGAAAATACCACTGTTGTGTCGTCCACACAGGCTTCGGTTGTGACTGCCACCACTACGTCAACCATAAAGGTAACATTACCTTTGAAATCGGCAGAAAAACGGAATAGACAAATTAAGGAACTTGAATTGAAAAGAGAACGAATGAAGGAGAAATTGAAGAGAGATGCCTCGACGGTTGCTACTCACGAGAAAATAACGTCAACTGCAACAACAGCTCCAAATATATCAGCAGCATTAGCAGCCACACGTTTAATGCATGCCATGCGCGACAATGGTAAAAAACCTGCCTGTTTTGAGGTGCCACAAGCGTCGGCCGATGAAAAACGTTCTATAGACGTTCTCACCGCTTTACATTTGTCCGCCAAAAAACAACTTCCAAAAACTCCAGAAACTAACAAGCCAAAAGGAAAATCCAAAATAGATCTTTCGCCAGCTCTAGAAGATGCGAATACATCGAGAACTCCAGAAAATAAGGAAAACCCCCGAATGAATATTTCGTCGGCCAACAACAAGACTTCACAAAGGAAATGTTTGCCGATAGAGGCGCGGCCGGTTGCCAAAACCATACGCAAGGCGAATAAGAAAATTGTGCGAACACCGTTGGCATTTAAGACCATCCAATCACCGGGCAAAATCAATTCCCACAGCACAACAACAACGCTGGCAGAATTGGCAAATAAATCGAAGGATAATATGTTGTCGCCAATCGTGTCCAACGTAAGAGTATCACCACGTCTAATAAAACCCAACAAAAAAACCAACAAAGCCAAAAATGCATCAGAGTCGACAACAGCCAAAACCAAAGCAAGTCCAAAAACCACTAAGGCGGCGAAAGCTGCAGCAGCAAAACCAAAGGCTCCACGTGCAACAAACAAAAAGAAGCCAGCCACAACGAGGGCCAGTAAAAAGAAAATGGATTTAGACGATCGTCGCGATGGAGAACTGGACGAGCGAACTAAAGAAGAAGAAGAACAAGCCACTTTGGAAGAGCCACCACCAATTCAACCAAAATTGAATGTGAAACCGAAAATTCCTTTTAAGCCGGCAAAAGTCACTGCAAAAACAAAAGCCCATCACAATGATTTGGTGGCGGAAGTCGTCGAACACAGGGATAAAGCAACTCCTCAAGAAAATGTCGATGTACTGCGCCTAGAAAATGCCGAAGCATTAAAAGTGGAACAGGAGGCAGCAATTAAATCCATACAAAATGAGTTGACTAACAAACCACTGCCGACACCAGAAGAAACAAATGAGCCCATATCTGAAGAAGATGCCATAGATGACTGCGAAATGGTCACATACAATGAAAGCGATCCCAAACATTTTATACACTGCACGTATCAGGGTCCAGATGAGCCACCTCCAAGTCCGGTAAAGAGGCATGACCTGTCAAATTATAGAATGGTAGTTTCATTGGATGATGATGAGCAGCATGTCTGGAGTATCTCTGAAGGTGTTTGTTTATTTACATGTCCGCCGGCAGTGGCAAATCCCACATCGGCGGTGAAAACAGAACAACAGCAACCAAGTAAAATACGTACAGTTCCGAAAAAACGTAAAGTACGTGTAACACAAGGTGTGGATGACAAAACGGCAGCGCCGGTGGTAAATACAAAAATTGCTGCTGTCTCCTTAAAGGCTTTCACATCGGCCGCAACACCGGGAGCTACATCAACACCGGTTATTCAGGGTGGTGCTGGGATATCACGAACCGAGATGGCTGCAACACGAGAAGAAGCGTAAGTTGTTAATATGTGCATATGTGTTTAACCATATTTCAAGGGGAAGTTTTAAAACAATTGAAATAGTACTATAAATAGTTACGGTTTGATTTTAGGATTCACAGCTACACTAAAGTATATTTCTGGAAAGAACGTTCGAATTTCTATCTCCCACCCAAATAGCATATCCCTCTTGTTGGATAACATGGGACATCTGCAAAATAGGTGTTCAATCGTATCTATCTCTTCTTCATTTCACATAGTCAGGAACACTGTTATACCATCTTAAAATCTTAGATCAGACCTACTAAGTGATAGAAGATGATGATGATTGATGAATTGTCTGTGAACCACCTCGAGCTAAGTCATTAGCCAGTTCATTCCCATGGCTCTCGATCTAATGCCACTTGACTTGATAGCTTTAAGAGCCGTCTGATTATCGACATATATCGTCACTGGTACTGTTATGCTATTGCAGAGTTCTCTTATCATTTCCGCTACCTTCTTCATTGCAAGAATTTACGTTTGAAAAACGATGCAATTGTCATTAAGCTTACATGAGTGCTTAACCATTGGGTTAGGGTATAATACGCTACCACCGGTGTCTTCATCCATATTGGAGCCGTCTGTATAGATGGCCGGAGGAGGTTCATCAACAGCCCCAGCATCTCTATTAGTTATCGTATGTCCCAAATTCGTGCATGAAAATCCCGTGAGGAGTACCATTCTCCAGCGCGATGTGTTATACTTCCAGTGTACGATTTGTGGTCTAAGACCCAGTTCTTCCCTATTGCTGTACTACATGAATAGAGCGCAATGAGGCCTTTTTCGTACGCTCCTCTATGTTCTTGCACCTCCAAGACCACTGTAACTCAATCCAGAACTGGCAGCGAAAATTGATATATTTTATTTTTGTTGTGAAAGTATAAGTTTTGTCTTTTGTTAATTGAGGGTTTACGATAGCTGTATTCAATTAAAGCTATTCGTCATGAAAATCTAGGATGATTTTGTCGATCTTCTATGGTTATGAATTTATATTAAAGTGCGAAAATGCACAATATCGGTCCACTCCATTAAGTAACTCCCCACAAAGAGTCAACATTTTGAATAATAAAAATCCTTATAAAATATGTTGTAAGAGTCCGATTGTCCTTAAATTTCATACATCCCAATATTTTTATTAACCCAAGGTCTTCTGGTACCTCCCCTAGAAATGATCAACATTTGAATATCCATGAAGCTCATAAAACGCGAAATTAACATTCGATTCCATTCAGACTTGGCATATCACAATATTTCCATCAACACAAGATCTGTTATAAAGATGGTAGAGATCGGAACTTTCCTTCTGGTACCTCCCCCACAAACGGCCAAAACTTTGAATAACCAAAACGATTATAAAATCCGAAATATGCATCAGGTTCTCTTTATATTTCACAACATGCCAATAGTTCTAATAACTTAAGATCTGCTTGAAGATGGGATTTATCGGTCCACCAGAAGGAGTGGAAAACTATGAAGCTAATAAAACGCGAAATTAACAACCGATTCCGTTCAGATTTAGTAGATCTCAATATTTCCATCAACACAAGATCTTTTAATAAAGATTTCTTATTCTGGTACTTCCCCCACATAGGGTTCATGTTTTTGAAAAACATAACGCTCGACAAAAGCGAAATATGCATCCAATTCTCCGCAAATTTCACACATACACACATTTTTGCTAACACAAGATTTGTTGTGAAGATGATATATATCTGCGATCCCCTTCTGGTACCTCACCCACAGAGGGTCACAATTTTCAATGCTTTTATTTGTCATAACTTGCGAAACAAGTCAGCGATTCTTTACAACTTGCAACATCTAAATATTTTTCTCAACCAGAAACCTGATATGAATTTGAAATTTCTGATTTCGCATAAATTTGGATATAAATTTTCGATTTTCTTGTAATTTTGCCCATACCAATATTTTTATCTGTATCAAATGTATGAAAATAAATTTGCTACATCTAAATACTTTTCTCAACCACAAACCTGATATGAATTTGAAATTTCTGATTTCGCATAAATTTGGATATAAATGTTCGATTTTCTAGTCATTTTGCCCATACCAATATTTTTATCTGTATCAAATGTATGAAAACTAACTATTTCGGTCGACTATATCTGGTATCTCACGCACATTTTAACATTTTCTAGAAATTATCACTTATCTCATAAAAAGTGAAGGGAGTATTCGATATAGTCCAAACCTGGCACGTCGCAATATTTATATATTTATTTCGGTCCGATACGAAATGGACAATATTGGACCATTCTTTCGGAGCCTACTCCATAGAGGGTCAACAATCATAACAGAAGTCAAAATATATTTAAATAATCGTACATTGGCTGAGGGTATACATTTGTCGGCAAAACCGAATGATACTTTTTAACTTGTTTTTATTAAACCATTGATTTCTGGTCCCCGAATGTTAACTTCAATATTTTAATAATTTACTATACTTTAAATAATAATTAAAAAAAATATTTAAAAAAAAATTTTTGTTTTCAATTTTAGAGCTAAAACCAAAACGACGACAGCAAACAAACCTGAAAAACAAAATCAACCACCTCCAAATGAAGAAGAATGTCATGTGAATCAAAAAATTCAAATCGAAGATATAGAGTCTATATTGTCGCATTTACATGGCACTTAGGATGATCTTGTATTCATTGCTGAAACATAATCAAGATTGAATGGGGTGCAATGTTTTTTTAAAAACGAAATAAATATTTCTTTTTTACAAAGAATATTCAAACGAGGCAACACTGTATTCAAAAAACTCTCTAGTTCTAAGTACATAAGTTATATGTAAATTTTATAACATAAATTATAAATTCTACTGTAGTTATTATTTTACTATAATTATTATTATTAATGAATTGCTTTCGTTTTCTGTTATGGAAACCGAATTATTTTATTATTTTTTATCGAAACTAAAGATTTATGAAATACCCTTAATATGGCAAATGGTCAAAAATCTTTTCATTTCTTTGTTGAGTACTAATTGCTTGAAATATTATAGACCAACAATCGTTTTGTTTTACAAAAAAATATATCTATTCATCAATCATTTTGCTACAACCAACACCACAAATATCGAATTCTCCTACCCACTGTTATGTTTTTTTATAACTTTACGCTTAAAACAAAAAATCAAATTGATTTTACAAAATGTAAAATTGCGTTGATATTAGTTATGCTTAAATTTTGTCTCTTTTTATCGTTATCAAAATAACTATGTAAATTTATTGTATAAAATCTTTTATAATAAAAATCCATCCTGTAGACTGGAATTCAAATTAAAATGTGTTTATATTTATTTCCAATTGTTCACTACATAAAAAATAGTCAATTTTAAAAAATAATCAACCCACACCGTAACGTGTGTTGTCTTGAACAATTAGTTTCGTGGTCGTAGGTTAGGTTACAGGATGCGCAGCTATACTAGAGACGGCAGGTGCTTCACTCGTAGCACTCATTGGTACATTTTGTTTATCCTAATAAGAATTAGAAATTAAAAAATATAGAGATAGAGAAGAAAAAAGGCTTGCCTTTTCATGATATGCTTTTGGCAAACCTGTGGACGATGATGGAAAAAGGGCGTTAGGGTGAGAATTCATAGAAATTTTTGAAACAACACTAGTTTAGTAAAAACTGGCGATTTTTTTGAGTTTTTTTTTTTCAGATGTAGGTATTTATATCCTGATTCCGGGAATGTATTTTTTTTTCTTGGGGGACGAACCCGGGTATTTGACCCAAAAGCCCTGGGCCTAGATTCGGATATTGGCAACATACAAGGTGAGATGAAAGAACTGCAACCAACTTTAGTCTGCTGTCATCAAAATTAACCTGGAAGTAGATATCGTTGGAGCAATCCAACATTTAAATGTGAATAAATCTTTTGTGTCTCGTACCATTGCTCGTTACTGTGATACTGGTAGCGTAGCACGACCCGCGTCGCAGTGGCCGAAAAACGGCCCGTGAGCTGAATATATCGCAATATTCTATTCGGCAAATATTGAAAAATGAGCTCGGGGTAAAGCCATTGAAATTCCAAAAAGTGCAAGAACTTACACCGCCACAGAATGAAAATAGACTCAAAAGAGGTAAAGAGTGCTTCGCTTGGCCGGAAGTGGTGAACTGCCGATGTTGGTTTTCTCCGATGAGAAAACATTCGTTGTCTAGCAGTTTGTAAACAAACATAAGTTTACTTGCTAAAGAGGTCAGCTGAAAATGTACACCTTCGGTTGTACAGCCGATGGTCTCTCTCCGCTCGTATTAATCGACTGTGACATCAGAATAAATGCCGAATATTATCGCGAAATTATTCTGGAGGGTGTACTAAAGCCTTGGGCACGCAAACATTTTGGCCGCAGAACTTGGACATCCCAACAGGACTCAGCACGCGCCACCCAATAATGGTTACAAAAAGAGGTTCCCGCTTCATCACTTCACCTCAGCGCACAGTGCCACCAAAATCTCCGGATACCAATCCGTTGGACTACTGTGTCTAAAGTATTTTGGAAAGCAAGGTTGACACTTAAAATCCCATATTGTCGATTATCTCAAGTAAGCGCTTCGCCGGAAATGTGCCAAAATACCGCAGAGCAACATTCGGGCAGCTTGTGACGGCTTCATTGGCCGTTTAAAGGCCATAATTGGTGTCAATTGGTGAATCTAACTTATTCTAAAATTTGATGCTATTTCCGACATTTTTGCTTTCATTCAATACAATTTAAAAAAAAATGTGAAAATTATAACGTTTGAATTTGTTGCATTTTTTTATCTCAATCTGTGGGTAAAGCTAATGAAAATACCTATCCAACAAGTGGTCACATTAGGGGGTTTTCAAAACGAACCAGAATTATATCTAAATTTTTAATTTTTTTTGGACCTCAATTTTTTATAAAAACCCCTAAAAAGTCGCAAAGGGCCTTTTATGTTAGTTTATAAAATATATTATTTTTCCTGGTGCCAGAGATATGGGTCTTTACACCAGACAACCCGATTCTGTTCAGTTTTCCTAAAGCTGATGAGCCGAAATTGACTTTTTCGTAAAAGAACCAAGGAGGCTTAGGTTGTCTCAGTTCAATTTCGACCCACTTCTTACACTTGTTAATCCTACGGTCCGTTGTTCTTTTATAACGAAGCCAGCCGATGACTTAGCCATTCAAAAAATCGTTTTATTTAACAGCACCTTAGCGCCTTTAGGTGGGGTGAGAATAAATAAAACGCTTTTTGACTGGCGTAAAGGTGGGAATACATAAAGAGCTTTTTTGGCTGGCTTAAGTCATCGGGTGGCTTCAAACAAAGGAGTTTTAGGTTAAGGAAATGAACAAAGGAGCCTAGGGCCTAAATCGAACTAAGTCAACCTAAAGCTCCTTTGTTCATCTACGAAGAAGCCAGCCGATGACTAAAGCCAGCCAAATATGCGCTTTATGTATTTCCACCCTCATGTATTCCCAGCTTTAGTCATTGGCTGGCTTCTTCGTAGAGGATCGAAGGAGTTTTAGGTTAACTTAGTTCGATTTTGGCCCTAGACTCCTTTGTCCTTTTACGAAGCAGCCAGCCGATGTTTTAAGCCAGTCAAAAAAGCTCTTTCTGTGCTTCCACCGTAAGGCAGACAAATAAAGGTGAGAATACATAAATGGCTTTTCGACTGGCATAAAACATCGGCTGGCTTCTTCGGAAAAAGAACAAGAACACGAACATAAAACGCGTTTTTGACTGGAATAAGTCATCGGCCTTTTATGCACTATTACCTTTAATGTATTCTCACCACCCACCAGTAAAATATTCTTTGTATCTGCACCTTTATTGAAACCTAAGCACAGCAAATCAATCGTATATAATTTCATGGACGTTTTTACAGAATATTAGAGAATCCTGCAAATTTTCAACTCAGCACAAGTGTTGAATTTTTTTTTTTCCAAACTACCCATAAAATTTGATGTCTTTAAAACCTTGCGCTGATGTTCTAATATGGATCCATTTTTATTCTGTTTGTAATGTGTGAATTTCGAGATATTTCATAGTGTAGTTTCAATTTATTCTCATTAAAATATTCCACTGCTTTGAAATTGCAATAAATCCGCATTTCGTGCCATCCAAAAAATAACATCTTAAAGAATCTACACAGTTCTACCATTTTTGTTTTTCGTTCTTCGTCATCAGAATTTGACATGGTGGGTAACTGTTCATATGTAAAGGACATGTTATTAAAAATTTATATAAAATTATGGATAATCATAGGATAATGACCGTTGACACTGTGACTGAAATAAATTTTATTTTGATTTCAGTTCGTGAGTCGTCGTTCGCTAGTCATGGATTTCATACAAATTACGGTTATAATTTGGCTTATTGTTCCTGCAATATTTGCAAATGATTTGAATATTGGTAAAATAAAAAACAAAAATTTGGAAAGAAAAAAGAAATCAAAATTAAATGTTGTGATGTTTTGTAGCATTTTGGATTGATCCGGTACAGAAAGATATCTATGGAGATATTGCGGCAACTTTAAAGGAAATTGAGGGATTACATCTGGAGACGAAAATAGTTGATACAGTAATGGTTATTGAACCTGGCGACGATGACGACGACGAGGTGGATTCAATGGAGACAAGTGAAAGAAACATGAGAACTTGTAAGTTTAAAAAGAGTTAATTTTTTTATATAAATTCATAAAAATTCAAGAGAATCTAAGGCTGGAAATACATAAAGCGCATATTTGGCTGGCTTAAGTCATCGGCTGGCTTCTTCGTAAATGAACAAAGGAGTTTTAGGTTGACCCAGTTCGATTTTGGCCCTAGGCTCCTTTGTTCATTTCCGAAGAAGCCAACCGATGACTTAAGCCAGCCAAATAAGCGCTTTATGTATTCCCAGCTTAAGGCTGGAAATACATAAAGCGCATATTTGGCTGGCTTAAGTCATCGACTGGCTTCTTCGTAGATGAACAAAGGAGTTTTAGGTTGACCTAGTTCGATTTTGGCCCTAGACTCCTTTGTTCATTTCCGAAGAAGCCAGCCGATGACTTAAGCCAGCCAAATAAGCGCTTTATGTATTCCCAGCTTAAGGGAATAAACCTTCAAAAAGCAAAGCATTATGTAATGACTAAAGTTTTGCTCTTTTTGACATTTGCCGTTACTGGTATGGATACCTAGTGGAGAGCAAAAGTCGATTTCTCGTCTTTTACTTTTCGGCAAATGAAAGTACGTTTACACTACCTAAATCAAGTGGATTTCAACTGTCAATTTTATTTGGTATATGTCAAATGAAATCGCCCTCAAATAGAGTGGATTTGTTATGAAATCGATGTTTTACTTTTGATGGCATTAATGAAGAAAGGTGACAGTACATAAAACGCTTTTTTGACTGGCTCAAGTTATTGGCTGACTTCTTCTTAGAGGAACAAAGGATCTTTAAGATGAGAATACATAAAAAGCTTTTTTGACTGGCTTAAGTCGTCGACTGGCTTCTTCGGAATAGAACAAAGGAGCGTAGGGCCAAAATCGATCTAAACCAACCTGAAACTCTTTGTTCCTCTACGAAGAACCTAGCCGATGACTTTAGTCAGCCAAAAAAGCGTTTTATATATTCTCACCTTTAGGTTGACTTAGTTCGATTTTGGATCTACGCTCCTTTGTTCTTTTCCGAAGCAGCCAGCCGATGACTTAAGGTGGGAACACATAAGTGTGGAAATACATAAAGCACATATTTGGCTAGCTTAATTCATCGGCTGGCTTCTTCGTAGAGGAAAAAAGAAGTTTTAGGTTGACTCAGTTCGATTTTGGTCCTAGGATCCTTTGTTCATCTCCGAAGAAGGTAGCCGATGACTTAAGCCAGTCTAATAAGCGCTTTATGTATTCCAACCTTAAAACGTTTTTTTTCTTCAGTGGCTTAAGTTTCGTAAAAGAACAAAGGAGCGTTGGGCCAAAATCGAACTAAGTCAACCTAAAACTTTTAGGTTCCTCTACGAAGAAGACAATGACTTAAGCAGGTCAAAAAAGTATTTTATGTAGTTTCACCTTTAGGAATGATGCATCTTATGGTATGTCTACATTAGAGCTAGAATAGATTTGACATATATGCTATGGAATTGGCAATTTAAATTCACTGGGTTTGCTAAAACCGGTAAACTGTAAACGTACTAATAATGCAAGCAGATGGTCCTTACCCGATTTCTCATAGTAGGAAAACCTCATCTATTATTCACCAACATTTTTCTTTCATCTCTTTCATATAGTCTGTGATATACTTTCCGTATCGGGCATATCGATTATATTGGACTTCACCTATCTACCATGGCATCAGGGCTTGGATTATGTTCAAGCTCATGGTATACCCTACATGAAAGTCGATCGTATTCTCAGACCATTTATGCAGATGTTTAGTGCGTTTCTACAACAAAAGGATGCAACCGAAGTGGTGATGTTGCTACAAAATGAACGCGACAAACGGGAGGCTATAGAGGAAATGATTCGCGGTTTACCATTTCGAACGCTCATCTTGAATGCTGGCGATGGCAATCGAACTGATTTTGTTACAATCCTAAGGGATTTACGACCAAGTCCAGGGTACTATGGCATTTTTGCCAAAGGATCGAATATGAATTCGATATTTGATAAGGTATTTTTATTTTTTGGTGGGGATATACTAGAATGGGGAAGATAAGTAATTTATTCTGTTTTCAGATTCTTAAAGGAAATGTGTTTGCCCGTCCAGCCGAATGGCATTTCATATTTTTGGACACAAGAGATCGGGTCTTTAAATACAAAAAGCAGGCAGAAAATGGCAATAAATTTTCTGTGAATCCAAAGGCAGTTTGTAAGTCGTTGCAAATGAAGGATGCCTATTGTCAGAGTGGATTTACGGTGAGTGTGATGTGGAATTACAAATCTGTCGTTTTTTGAAAGATATCTGACTATACGCCAAGAGTTAAGGTGAGAGTACATAAAAAGCTTTTTTTGACTGGCTTAAGTCATCGGGTGGCTTCTTCGTAGAGAAACAAAGGAGTTTTAGGTTGACTTAGTTCGTTTTTTGCCCTAAGCTCCTTTGTTCTTTTTCAATGAAGCCAGACGATGACTTCGGTCAGTCACAAAAGCGTTTTATGTATTCTGCTGCGACAAATGTGACTCAAGGGACGATAGGACAATGACCATTGCCAAAAGGTAATTGCTATTGACCAAAGAACAATAAGGGTGGAAATACATAAAGCGCATATTTGGCTGGTTTAAGTCATCGGCTGGCTTCTTCGTAGATGAACAAAGGAGTTTTAGGTTAACCTAGTTCGATTTTGGCCCTAGGCTTCTTTGTTCATTTCCGAAGAAGCCAGCCGATAACTTAAGCAAGTCAGATAAGCGCTTTATGTATTCCCACCTTAAGTCAGATAATACCGATATACACAAGTCAATTGCTAATGACCTCTGAAAAAGTGACTATTGCCCATGGTTTCCATTATAAATATATAAAATAATTTTAACAATTCCCCCAATTTTAAGTTCCAAAGGGCCTTGCTACTGGAAATATTTCGTGCTTTAATCGACATTAGACAAAGCAGATGGTTAGAGCCAATACTAATGGATTGCAATGTGACAACTTCAGAGACAATGGAGTATCTAAAAGATTTTGATATTTTGGATCATTTCAAACTGAACGATTTCATGACCTTCTCCCCGGTCAATCCTGAAAATACTTTTGACGACGAACGGCCGGAGATGATTCCGCCATTGTCATATTCTGTCAATGTTAGCATAAACTTTTATTCCTCCGAACATGAAGCTGTTACCGATTTAGCTGTCTGGCAAAATGGTGAAATGAAGAAAATCAATCACACTATTAGTCCGGCGAAGAGGTTTTTTCGCATAGGTACTACGGAGGTAAATATGCCCTTAGCAATGAAAAGTAAAGGCGAGAATACATAAAACGCTTTTGTTGAGTGGCTTAGGGTGGAAATACATAAAGCGCATATTTGGCCGGCTTAAGTCATCGGCTGGCTTCTTCGTAAATGAACAAAGGAGCCGAGGGCCAAAATCGAACTAAGTCAACCTCAAAGTCCTTTGTTCATCTACGAAGAAGCCAGCCGACGACTTAAGCCAGCCAAATAAGCGCTTTAGGTATTCCCAGCTTTAAATCATCGTCTGGCTTCTTCGGGAAAGAACAAAGGAGCATAGGGCCAAAATCGATCTAAGCCAACCTAAAACTCTTTTGTTTCTCTTCGAAGAAGCCAGCTGATGACTTAAGCCAGTCAAAAAGCGTTTTATGTATTTTCACCTTTAGGGAATTCTGTTAATATTTTCATCTTTTAAGGCCATTCCATGGAGTTATTATCGAAAAAATCCCAATACCGGTGAGCTGCTCTTGGACGCAAATGGTCAACCCATGTGGGAGGGATTTTGCATTGACATGATTGAATCCTTGGCCGAAAAAATGAATTTCGATTATGAAATTGTAACACCGAAAAAGGGCAAATTTGGACGACGTGATCCCGTAACCCATGAATGGGATGGTCTAGTGGGGGACTTGGTTAGTGGTGAAACAGATTTTGTTGTGGCTGCATTGAAAATGTATTCGGAACGTGAGGAATATATTGATTTTTTGGCTCCATACTTTGAACAGACAGGCATAACGATTGTTATGCGCAAACCCGTAAAACAGACATCCCTCTTCAAATTTATGACCGTCTTACGTCTGGAGGTGTGGATGAGCATTGTGGGCGCCTTGGTGTCAACGGCTGTGGCAATTTGGCTCTTGGATACCTATTCACCATATAGTGCCAAAAATAATAAGAAAGCCTATCCGTATCCTTGTCGGTAAGATCATATTTTTTATTTAAGAGAATTCGGTGTGGTAATATTTATTATCCCATTCTCTAGAGATTTCACCTTACGCGAAAGTTTTTGGTTCGCTCTAACCTCATTTACACCACAGGGTGGTGGTGAGGCTCCCAAAGCAATATCTGCCCGCATTCTGGTGGCGGCCTATTGGTTGTTCGTGGTACTAATGTTGGCCACCTTCACCGCAAACTTGGCAGCATTTCTAACCGTGGAAAGAATGCAGACACCGGTCCAATCACTGGAACAATTGGCGAGGCAATCTCGCATCAACTACACGGTGGTCGAAGGTTCCGATACCCATCACTATTTCATCAATATGGACTTTGCTGAGAAAACTTTATATAGAATGTGGAAGGAATTGGCATTGAATGCTTCGAGGGATTTTCATAAATTTCGGTAGGTTTTTGTGGTGCGAATCACGGTAAAATTTAAAGGTGAGAATACATAAAATGCTTTTTTGAGTGGCTTGAGTCATTGGTGTGCTTCTTCGTAAAAGGACAAAGGAGCGTTGGACCGAAGTTGAACTAAGTCAACCTAAAATTCCTTTGCTCTTTTACGAAGAAGTCGTCGCCCGGTATAAACAAATGAAAAACATATGTCAGAAGAAGAAAAAGTCGTCGGCTGTTGGTAAAAGAACAAAGGAGTTTTATGTTGACTTACTTCAATGTCGGACCGATATGTATACTTGTTCGCCCTACGCTTCTTTGTTATTTTACGAAGAAGCCATTAAGGTGAGAATACATAAAACGCTTTTTTGACTGGTTTAAGTCAACGGCTGGCTTTTTCAGAAAAGAACAAAGGAGCGTAGGGCCAAAATCGAACTAAATCAACTTAAAACTCCTTTATTCCTCTACGAAGAATCCAGCCGATGACTTAAGACCGCCAAAAAGGACCTTTAGGCTGTAAATACATAAAGCGCATATTTGGCTGACTTTAGTCATTGGCTGGCTTCTTCGTAGATGAACAAAGGAGTTTTAGGTTGACCTAGTTCGATTTTGGCCCTAGTCTCCTTTGTTCATTTCGAAGAAGCCAGCCGATGACTTAAGCCAGCCAAATAAGCGCTTTATGTATTCTCAGCTTTATGTTTGTATATTCAGGCTTTTTTACTGGTTTTAAGGTGGGAATACATAAAGCGCTTATTTGGCTGGCTCAATCACCTGCGGGATTCTATTTATTTTAAAATGTAATTGCAAATGTTTGCAAAGTTTTCAGTTTCGGTTTCGTAGTTACCGTAGTAAAATCTTTTACATTCTTGAAGTTCTGGAACAGACCAATATATACTCTGTTCCAGAACCTGCAAGGATATACAATTTTTTCGATATCATAAAGGAAAAATCGGTTATAGTAGTAAATTGTTTTACACTCGGTCCCTTCCAGAACTCCAAGTATGGCTCTATTCAAAAATATAAGTTTCTTGCAGGTTCTGGAACAGAACAGTAGAGAATCTATTAAGTGTGACAATCTAACAATTTTTCTACACTGCAGTGTTTGGGATTATCCGATTAAGGAGCAATATGGACGCATTCTTCTGGCCATTAACAGCTCAATGCCTGTCGCCGATGCTGAGGAGGGGTTTCGCAAGGTAAACGAACGTGAAGGTGCCGACTATGCATTCATACATGACTCTTCGGAAATAAAATATGAAATTACCATGAATTGTAATTTAACTGAAGTCGGGGAAGTTTTCGCCGAACAACCCTACGCTGTGGCCGTGCAACAGGGATCACATTTGGCGGTAAATTATAAAATATTCTTAGTGAAATGAATTGTTTACTATTTTTCCTCTTCAACAGGATCCCATAAGTTTCGCCATTCTGGAGTTGCAGAAGGATCGGTATTTTGAAGAGCTAAAAGCTAAATATTGGAATCGTTCCCGTTCCAACTGTCCCCTGTCCGAAGAAGAACAAGGTATAACGTTGGAAAGTTTGGGCGGGGTTTTCATAGCTACCCTTTGTGGTTTGGGTCTAGCCATGATTTCATTGGTCTTTGAGGTCTTATGGAATAAACGTAAACAGAAAAAGATAGCCGGTGATATTGTTCAAGTCAAACCAGTCGATGTGAAAGATCCACCAGTAGAAGTTTGGCATAGTGAAGCAAAATTAACGCCACCGCCATCATTTGAAACGGCCACATTTCGTGGTCGTAAAATTCCCTCTGGCATAACTTTGGGTTCTGAGTTTAAGCCCGGCCGGGTGGGTTTGAATCGTCGACTGTTAAGTCGCAGACCAGATGAAGATACGCCACCAAAGGATGAATTGCCAGCCTATATGGAATAATTTTCGTGTTGGATTTGAATTGAAATAAATAACATCACAATGTAGAAGAGTAGTATCCAGTGTTGTTGTATTCTGCACATTTTTGTCTGTTAATAAATTTTTGGTGTTGTTGTTTCATAAACATATAGCGCATTTTTACTACTGAAGATAACCCGTTGGGTGAACTAGATTTAGAAGGATATAAATAAATATGCCAAAAATGATGTTGAAAAATAAAGGTGGGAATACATAAAGCGCTTATCTGGCTGGCTTCTTCGGAAATGAACAAAGAAGCCTAGGGCCAAAATCGAACTAAGTCAACCTAAAACTCCTTTGTTCATCTACGAAGAAGCCAGCCAAATATGCGTTTTATGTATTTCCACCCTTCATGTATTGACTTAGTTAGATATTTGCCCTAGACTCTTTTGTTCATTTCCGAAGAAGTCAGCCGATGACTTAAGCCAGCCAGATAAGCGCTTTATGTATTCCCACCTTAAGTCTTTATTCACTCTGCCGACAGTCTGCCAGAAAAATAACTGCTAGTTTTTGCTCTGTTCCAGAACCTGCAGGAATCTACTTGTATTGCATTTTTTCCGATATCATAAAAGAAAAATCGGTTATTGTAGTCAAAACTTTTAAATTCTTGCCGTTCTGGAACAGACCTTTTGCAATGTTTTCGATATCATAAAGCAAAAACCATTATCGTAGTACAAACTTTTACATTCTTGAAGTTCTGGAACAGGCCAATTTATTCCTTCAGTTCAGGAACATATTAATTCTGAAACGGAGTATATAGTATATTGCAGGTCTGGAAACAACTTATTAATAACGAATGGAATATGAAAACGTTGATTGTTCTTCGTAATTCTGGGAGTGATTTAGACTTGCCGGGATTTTTATAATTCTCTTTTGAACCTGCCTCGAGCATCTATAAATGGTTTGTTCCAGAACCTGCAAAAACATTTGTATGAAATAATCATCAATCATATGTTTATATGGAACATATAATAAAACATTTAAATACAATTTTCTTTGTTTTTTTCAATTTCATTTTTTTTTTTAAAAACTTTCCTATAGATTTTAAAAATTCACCATTTATAAATTAAAGTTAAATATGCCTTGATTTATGCATTGCAAAATAATGGAAGCAAGCTAATATTTCACGTCGATCTTAAAAATGTTATCGAAGTTATCGATTAGTCGACAAGTCGTTTATCAACCTAAGTATCCCTAATTGGAACGTTGTTCGTTTTATGAGTTAAAGAGAGAGTCCGTGGAGTTCGTTTCGTTCCGTGCGTGTACAAAAAGGGGAGATATCAAATTAAAAGGATACGTTTTCCTTTTCCCCAAGAACATAAAACAAACATTAGAATTTTAACGCTCAACGAGACAAGAGGACGACGCGCATAGCGTAACAATAACGCTGTTTCTTTCATTTGAAAACAATCTATGGAAGAAGGCAGCAAAAGTATTTTGCTGCTCGTGCAACAACAACAACAGCTACAATAATAATAACAACAGCGGCGACGACGTTGGCTATAACATCAACAGTTCAGGTTTAATAAAACAAAATACCAATTGATGAACGCAATAATTCCACAACAACAGCAAATCTATTTGTTAAAATAATAATTAAAACATCTGTGTATGCAAATGTTCAAATGCTCTATTCCCGTGCGTGCGTGTGTAATTGTGTGTTGATGAAAGCTGTGTCTGTTGTCTGCAAAAGCTAAGAAAAGTAATTCAACAAATTTAAATATATCTTGTTTAATAAAATACCACTTCATTTTCAATCAAGTCTTATAACAAGCCTTTGCCAAACTAAAACCCCCCTCTCCCATTCCCTGCCATTTTTGGTGGGGCTTATCAAAAGTACGTGATGGAAATTGAATTGATGTACAAAAAAGAGAATTAGAGAATAAAATATAAAAGTTTCAAATATAGAAAAAATTAATAAAAAAATGTGTTACAACAGCACAAGTGTCGATGAATAAAGTTAAGTGTTTGTGTACATGTGTGTGTAATGTTAATTATTGTTGTTTTTAATAATTTTAAATGAAAATTCCAGCAGATGACCTGCTGCAAATAAACAACAACAACAACATTTCGATTAATGTACCCCTTAGTGTCTCCCTCTCCACTAATCTCCCCTTATTCGGTCTCTTGAATAAATATCAAAAAGAATAAATTGCAAACAAAAAAAAAAAAAACTGTTTTGTCTACGAAAAACAAAGTAAAACAAAAAACGTCTACTATCTCTTTGTTGTTGTTTCTCTCGACATTTTGTGAGAGTACGCGGGCACTTCACAACGGAGAGGAGACCCCTAGAAGAGAAGAGAGGAATTGGTATACGTTTTGCTGTGTTGTGTTTAGTTTTGATAACAAACATTTGTTGTGTTCGGAAATTATTGTGGCCCCAACGACCTCTTCCTCCCTCTGGTACGCACACACATACCCCCTGTCTATCATTTTGTGAGAGATAATCACAACTTGTGCTTATTACCCTTACCCCATCCTCACTTAACTCCAGTTAAACGGTCCCACTCCGCCGCCACTCCCAATAAGAATTGAACAATTGTTGCTGCTGTCAAATCAAACTGTTGCAAAATAAAACAAAAATTGTGGCATTTATTTAAACATCATGATCATGGCTAATAATAGTTCCGGTTCAGGTGGTAGCTTGGCCTCTACTTTGGTTGGTGGTGTTGGTGGTGGTGCTGCTGCTGCTTGTCCGCCTGGTTTAGTTGGTGGTATACCTGGTGCTGGTGCCTCATCTGTTGCCGCTGCTTTAAACTCCACCAACAGTGATTTATGGAAAGAATGTGTCCTTTGGCTGCAACGTTGCAAAGTCTTACCACCCGATCATGTTGCCACCGAGGAAATTCGTTCATTGGCATTGACCTTACGCGATGGTGTTATGCTATGCAATTTGGTCATATTTTTAGATCCCAAATGTTTGGATCCCGGGGAAATGACAAAGAGACCTCAAATGGCACAGGTAAGTTTGTGTGTGTGTTAGTTTATTATTTTGGAATTATAATTCATGTTATATTTTACATAGGTTGTAGATTGTAAGGATTGTGGTACAGAAATGCAAAAATAGTCGAAAAAGGCAGAATTGGATATAGGAGAAGTGTCGTCAAAACTATACATTATTTTGACATCTTGGGTTGAAATGTCTCAAATCAAAATTTTTTCCAACCTGGTCAAAACAATAGACTATTAGGCTCTTGATGGGGAATGGCAATTTAGCAGTGGAAAAGTTGGTAAATCAGATTGATTTTATGGTAGTGAATACGACAAATCCATTAATGCCCTACATTTATGCCCTACAGCGAGCTCAAGGTTTATAGGTCAATTGCTGGAATTATTTGTGGTTGATGTAGCATCCTTACTGTTCCACTGACAAGTGAAACTAGGATTGAGTTGGAAACAATTTTGAACGCAAAAGTAAATCAATCATAAATTCTTACGATTTTAAAGAACTATTAGAGCTACAAATGTGGATATTTCTCAATAAAAATCAGGGCTAAACTTATCATAGACCAATCTGAAGATGTTTGACAATGAAGAAAAGCACGAAACCTGTTTTTGAGATTTGTAAAACAATGTTGCCCAGCAGATAATATCCAAAAAATCACATTCAAACAAATTACAAGCAGACAAATCTTTGTAGCCTGTTGAATCATAACCTTGTTAATTTATTTTTAATTTAAAGGACATCACTCCCATCTCCCCATTTCCCAGATTTACACACAAAAATTTATATGAAAACAAGAAAATTCTAGTTTGTTTATTTTCTGTGCGCAAAAATTTCCATGGAATTGGTTTGTTAACCTTGAGAAATGTCTTCAAACTTTGCGAACAGAACAAGAAAGTAAACATAATGATTTGAAAGCAAAAAGAGAAAATTTAAAATTGTTGATTGCATAAAGCAATTGTTGTGATGATTTCTCTTCTTTAATTATTTTTTCCATCACAAAGCAACTGGGATAATCCTGAAAATCTCATGGGAATTATAGAAAATGTTAATGAATGGATTAGAAACAAAATATTTCTTTGTTGTTTATGGATACGATAAATAATTGGGGTGTCAGTCTGAAAACACTTTCTGGGTGAATGACATAAATGCCCTTCTGTACACACCGAAGTCCAACATTGGAGGAGCACCTACAGTAACATCAAAATCTTGAACATTCATTTGGAAATTATGAAAAAGTGATATTTATTCTTTTTCTATATTTTATAAGCGCCTCCCAATTTGCCAAATTTAGGAGGGAAAGGAAGGAGGGTATTACTGAAAAATATAAAAAAAATCACGTTAAATACGTTTTTTTTCTATTCAAAAATATCGGCTTTATTTATTTTAAAGAAACTTTCCAAATGTAACTACAAATGCCATGGAAATATTTGCAAAGAAAATACGATTATCTTTTTATGTGTAAACCTTATAGGTGTTTTAAAGAAAGTAAATGTCCTTTGAATTGACAACAAAAATCCACAAGCTTAACTCTTACATTTCAGCATTTCTCAGCCGTGGGTGGATTTTTAGTTTCAGCTTGTAAATAAAAAAAAATAACAATACAATTTACAATTAAAATCAAAATACAGGGTGAGATAAAAAACTGCAACAAAGTCAAACGCCATCATTTTTACATTCTTTTTAAATTTTATTGAATGAAAACAAAAAATGTCGGAAATAGCATCAAATTTTAGGATATGTTTAGATTAGTTCGAATTGGTCACCTCTGGCACGAATTATGGCCTTCAGACGGTCAATGAAAATTGTCACCAAAATGCCTTTGTACGCTTGCAAACAATATATAACAATATATGAGCTGTCACTAAAATCTGTCGGACGAGCGGCTCGGTAATGACAGCAGTCTGAAGTTGGTTGCAGTTTTTTCATCTCACTCTGTATGTAATATGCAATATTATAAATTAGAATTTTTTCAAATTGATTTTTATCAATATTCAAACATAATACGGGATTTCCCTTCTTCTTTTTTAGTACAAATTTCAAAAGAATCAAATCATTCAATGCTTGTGATTAATAATCAGCGATGTCTTATCTTATGCATTTTATTCCGGGATTTTTTAATTGCATACACATAATGAAATGCGTAAACTTCGACATTGTATTTGGGTATTAAATAAAGCAGAACAGTATTACCATTCTGATCCTAATCTACGATAATGACACAGACGACATTTCATGAAGGTTCCAGAATTATGTTTCGGCCTATGTCTCTGGATTTAAAAATTATGCGCGCATGTGGAAGGTATTGTTAGACGCGTTTTTCCCGCTTTTTCTTGACATGAACAGGGTAGAGTTTTGAAAAAAAAATCAAGGCTTATCTATGTTTCGGCCTATATTTCAGGATCTAAAATTAAAAAGTATCAGTCGGGGGTGCCGACGATTATTTAAATATATTTTGATTTTTGTTATGACTAATATGATATATATCGACTTCTTCCTTCACTTTATGTGAGATATGTGATAATTTTTAGAAAATGTTAGAATGTGCGTGAGGTAGCAGATATAGTCTACTGAAGTATTTCATTTTTATACATCATCTAATACAGATAAAAATATTGACCTCTTGTGGGTGAGGTACCAGAAGGGGTTCGCAGATATATAACATCTTCACAACAGATCTTGTTTTAGCAAAAAGTTTGGATGTGTGGAATTTGAAGAGAGTTGGACTCTTATTTCGTTTTTTTGAGCGTTTTGTTTTTCAAAACATTTAACCCAATGTGGGGGACTTTCCAGAAGAAATGGTCCGATCTCTACCATCTTTATAAGAGATCTTGTATTTATGGAATAATTGAGAAGTACCAATTATGAATTGAATCGGATGTTAATTTCGCATTTTATGAGCTTCATGGATATTTAAAAATTTGAGCCTGTGTGGGGGAGGTACCAAACAGAGTGGGCCGATATATCAAATCTTCAGAGCATATCTTGTGTTTGTAGAAATAATGGGATGTGTGAAATATAAAAAGAACCTAATGCTTATTTCGGATTTTATAAACGTTTTGGTTATTCAAAACGTTGACCCTTTGTGGGGAAGGTACTGGAAGAAATAGTCCGATCTCTACCGTCTTTAGAGCAGATCCTGTGTTGATATAAATATTCAGATCTGCCAAGTCTAAATGAAATCCTATTTGAATTTCGCGTTTTATGAGCTTAATGGATATTCAAAATTTCGACCGTTTGTGGCGGAGGTACCAAAAGGAGTACACCGATATATTCCTAACACCAGATCTTGGGTTCATAAAAATATTGGGATGTGTGAAATTTTCAGACAATCGGATTCTTACATCACATTTTATAGGAGTTGTAATTATTGAAAATTGTGACTCATTGTGATGGAGTGGGCCGCTATTATCCATTTTCGCAACCTGTCTTAGCACTGACGCAAATATTAGGATTTGCAAAACTGGAGCGAAATCGGATTATCGTTTCTCTTTCTGTGCAGGATAATATATTTTTGGAAAATTTCGACCTTTTGTGTGGGACGTACTAGAAGGAGTGGACCGATATTGCCCATCTCCGAACTCTTTCTAAGTTTGACAAAAATATTACTATGTACCAAGTTTGGACCAAATCTAGGCACGTTTGGGAGAGAATTTCCGTTTTTTTTAAATTCTGTTTTTCAAAGACCAACAATGCTTTCTTTCACCATTTATAGCCTGAATATGATGACTGACTAACCGACTGGCTTATGACTTAATTAGAATCAATCTCACTTTTCTTTTTTTTCTTCTTCTCATTAACTCTATCTTCATTTAAATTTATGATCTCTTCTTAAAATTGGTTTTAATTATGTGCATTGTTTTTGTTGTTGCTGCTACTGTTGATGGAATGCTCGTTGGCAATTACCCGGCCTCCTCCACCCAGGTTAAGGTTAAACAAAAATTGTTTACAATTACGACGAAGATGAAGACGACACCACCTTGTCATGTTTTAATGGAATTGCCAAACGGGGGGAGCAGGCGAAGCAGAATAGCTGAGCTCTGGTACGCTGGCTGGCAGTAACATCTCATTTGTTTTTGCTGACTTGCTTGCTTACATTTGTTTGTATGTTTGCGTTTCTAATGTGTCAGGAAAAAAGCGATTGCCACATCTTGGCAGATGTTGGGATGGGTGGGTGCTTAGGTGGCTGGCTGGTTGGCTGATTGTGTTCATCTTGCCATTTTTATCCTGTGAAAAGTGTCAAGCAGCTCCCTTATGGTTTTCTCCCTAATTCCCTCTCTCTCTCTCTCTCTCTTCCCCTCTCTCGCTCTCGTTAATTTATTTTTTCTGTTTTGTTTCTCGAATGTTTGGTGTTTTTTTCTTTCGATTTTCAAGAGGATGGTGGAAGACGATCTAATTCACTTTGTGTGGTTGCTTGTGGGTGGGGAATGCCATGGCTGCTGAAGTTCCTGAATATGATGACATTGCTGCTGCCACAACGAAGATGCCTTCCTGTCTGTCCGTCAGCCTATTCCTCTGCTTGAGTTTGTTTATATATGTTTTTCTTAATTTGTAAATATTTTATTTGCACTCATCGTTATTTGTTTGTTGGCGTTGTTATTGTTATTTTTGTAGGGGAAGGGGGGAAATGGATAACATTCCGCACACAGCTGTTGCTTTTTTTCCCGATATTTTTTTATTTTGAAACAAAAACAAACAATTGATGGCATTTGCCTTGAATCAAGGTGTCCTTTTGCAAGCGATGCGTACCATTTTCCCCCGAACTTCAATGTTGATGGATATGGCAATTATGTTATTTTTAGCTTTTTGTTTTTGATGTGTCCTTCGGCAGCGTGAAATGAATTCAATCTAATGTAATTTTCATGGTTAGCCGATTAGTTAGCTGGAGGTAACAATTCGCTTGAAAGCAAAAAATAAAACACAATATGTATTGTATCTTTGTGAAAATTTATTTTGAAACATTTATTCGGACTAGCTATGTCGTCAATGTATATTTCCAGAATACAATTATACGGAAA